CAATGTGCCAGCGTTTTTTGATTTGACTTGGCTATCGGGATCGGGATCGCATCGGTTTCCGTTTCATCTTTGGATGCTGCAACCATCGAACTTCGCACATTGGCAACAGTTAATCAGAGATAAATGAGCTTTTAAGCGTTGACACAAAACCCCGTCTCAAGTTACGGGTTAGGGGAAATGGGGATACCGCTCGGAACCAGTTTCTTTTTTTTACCAGACCATGCAATCTTAGGGCGTTGCTTGTCTTACATAAATCTGCGGAACTACTCGTGTTTGGGCGGACGAACATCAAAGCCGCTCACTGCCACAAAAACTATGTAAAATATGCATAATTAATTAATTAGCCGGGCGATTGCGACTTGCATCTTTTGCGGCAGGTTATGAACCCGGTTTGAAGCTCGCTTTCAACCCCATCGTAGTGTCGAGTCCATCAATACCGTCAGTCATCGCTTGGGTATCGACAGCAATTGTGGCTTTTGCCGCACAGTGGAGTGTTGCTGTGGACTCAACCAATATTGGAATATTCCCCAAGACGGCCAAGAAATGTCCGTCCGAAATCTTCACACATTGCCGCTGTTTATCCGAGCATTGGGTTTCCTGGCTTCTGCCAGCAACAAACGCCTTCAATTAGGCATACATGGAACAGCAGTACACAGACGCAGACATTGCATAAACAATATTTAACAATAAATACACACTAGCACACACTCAGGTTCACATACGAAACGGCTCACTTCCTTCGACGAAGCACTTTCTGGGCCAGTTAATTGCTCTGATTGTTTCACATAAATCTCCAGAGTGTTTATCTGTGGGTGGGTGGGTGTGTGTGGATGCTGACGATGTGCTCTAATTGATAAGGCGGTCTGAAGAACAACAGAGCTACCAATTGAATTCACCATAAACCAGTTAAGCTGCACACCGCAACAAATTGGATGAGTATCAACAATGCTTGCATGTCTAAATGGGCTAAGTTTGCTCAGTTATTATTAAAACAAGGAGGGTATCATAATTTTTTTTAACAATAATTACTCTTATCAGTTATTTTTAAATTCTTCAGCATTAAACTTGCAATGCAGCAAGAGGTGCGTTTTGCTCTCAGTGCACGATATTGTGTGGCTGAGATTTATAGGCCTAAATCACCGGAACATTCCGTCAGGCAGACAGTGGAGCAATGGCCAGAAGCAACAGGCTTCTCGGCCAGACCCCAACAATATCCATTTATGCGCATAATGAGCAGTCATACATCAGGGATGACTACAGCTGCCGACGGCTGCTCATCATCCCCACTTTCATCCAAACGTGGGCCACTCCGCTTCCAAATGGCCAGTGGCCGGCATTTACATTTATAAATATGCATAATTTGTTAAAGGCCAAATGAAATCCAGAAAACAGCCTCGAGGGGGACTCCAGCCAAACGCTCTTCTAATTTAATCATTTTGCCCATTGGCACCGACGAACTCATTTAATTTGTTGCCAGGTTGGGGGCTTGCAAAAAGTGCTTACGGGCCAAGTTTTCCAGGGAGCAGTAAAACCTATCAGCCTATTGACAATGACACCCGCAAAAGGCAGCGTGTTTGTAAGTAAATAAACTGTCCCGGGGCCAGGGAACCATAGAAGGTATCAGTTCGCCTAGGTTGCCGGGATTCCTGTTGTTTCCGCAGTTCGTTGTTTTGGTGATGGGAACCTTGTTTACTGTTTATCTTTGCACAGAAGACAAACAGAACTAAGACCAAACAATGACAGTAACAATTTGGCAACGTCAAAAGTCGTAGGATGATAAGATTTATTTATAGAACCAATCGCAGTGATTGGTCAGTTTGAGGTCGAAACTGGGAGTGGGAGTGGGATTGGGAGCAAAGCTGATGCTTTTGTTAATTAAAATTTTGCTGGGCACGTGTGCCACGGAACCTGGGTCATAAATCATGACATCAACAGCAACGGCAGTGGGGTGGTAAATCAACTCAATCACCCACCTCCAAGGCACCGAATCCCCAGAGGCGGCAACAACAATTACCGTCAGATAATCATGGCCATTATGTGGGGCGCCAAAAACACAAATCATGACAGCATTAAGAGGAACAAATCGCTCCCCATCTGAGTGGACAAAGGTCAGCAGACCGTTATTACGCACAATTAGGGTCTGTATGCATTACAGAACTATCGAAGACAGGGTGCTAAATTAAAGGGCAATTACCAAATATTAGCTAATGGCCGGCAATTGACATTTGTGTCTGGCCCAGAGCGTATTGCTCTACGACTTTCGCAAGGCGCAAGAAAGAAACCAAAACAGAGCGCCAGGGGCATTAATATTAATGAACTGCTCACACACGCGACCCCGGGCAGTTCATTAAAGTGTCAAACACTTTGTCCCGCAGACATGTCCGACTTGGGTCTCGGTCTCTCCAGAGCAAAGAGCACAGAGCACCGTAAAGACCCCGAATTCGAAAGAAAGTGGCCAAGAGCAACGGAAACTGAAACAGAAACAGCCAAAACCTGTTGCTCTCTTGGAAGCTGTTTGCTGGGATGAGACGACTCCAACGACAACGCCCAATTGACCCAAAAGCGGGCAAGCTGTCACTATTAATGTGTCATAAATCAAAAACTTGTTACCATGTAAAAACGTAACATTTTGCATATTGACCGGGCATGTAACCAAATAGCTTCCCAGTTACATTTTTTGCCACACTCGCTCTTGGTCGTCGTGACACCATCGATGGGCACATGATATCGCCGGCTAATTATGATTGATGGTTCCAGAGGCTCCAAGTTCAAATGAAGGGGATTTCTAGGGGCCCCATTTGGGAAAGTGCAATATTGAAATGCCAAATGATAGGCGATATTTGACAGGGCAAGTAAATGGCCCAAAATATTAAAAAAAAAAAAAAAAGGAAATAAAAAACAACTAAAAGTACAACTTGGACCTTTCCTTGTGGCCACGTTTCTACGCGGCCTGTCTTGGACGCTGAAAACAATTAGTATGACAATTTATCATATGGCCACAGCCAGATGATTTATGAAGGCCTAAAAACAACACGTAGCCGACACGTTGCGTTGCGTATACGCCATGGAGTCACTCGCCCTTCTGTGTATGTGTGTGTGTGTGTATACGTATTTGCTTCTGGGGGTGCGTCACATGTTTGCCCATTTCCTTCCTTCCTGCGGCCTGCTTGCTGCCTTTGTGCTATGCAATTTCTAGTTAATAAATATTTCCGGCTACAAGCAAATGGAGCAACAAAAAAAAGCTGACAGACACGCCCGCCAAGGAGGCGTCTTCTGGGCGGATATCGCGCAATTAGTTGAGTCAACAATTAAAACTGTGGCTGTTTTTCACACAAGAGTGCAAATTTGGAATGGCCATTATTAGAATATATGCTATGTGAGCAAACTATAAATCACCCGCAGTGAAATAGATACACCCGATTATAAATAGAAAGGAAATGGCTGCGAATTATTTCCCAAATATGGCGTCATATTCAATATCTTTTCCGCAGCGTGAACCTCAGCAGGACAGTAATCCCTTTGCCCCAAATCCTGCAGCTATCACATGCTCATTCTGGCATATTAATTGGCTTTCATTAATTATATTTTGAAAGCGTGTCCGGGACATGGCGAAAATAGTGTTCCATAATTAATTGATGTTCATATTATTAAGGAAAAGTACATACATATAAAGTGTGGTCATTTAATTCCCCAGCAGGGTTCAAATGGATAAAGCTCAAAAGTATATCCTTCATATGAACAGCTTTTCCTGGGAAGCTTAGTTCTCTAGTGAAAGTCTTAAAAAGCTTGGTGGAAACTTTTTGTAGAGTTTCCTGTACATAAACAAATTGTGTAGAATACCATTTAATGAGCTTTCTACGTTTACTCCAGTACATTGAAAGAAAAACTACATACTTAATCTAAGAAATTCGATCTTAAATGAAATTAAATCTTGATATTACATGAACGTGTGTTAAATTTCTTAAGATGATCCTTAAGATATTTAACACACACAGATTCAAATTATGTTGTTATATAAGTTTTAGTTCACCATAGAGACTTCGCCTTTTACCCATTTCCCAATCTAAACAACTTGACTCCGTTTTTTCTTAACTTTTATTTACAAAATTAAATTCTCTTTTTGTTCAATTACATGGAAATGACAAAACCGCACCAAAAGACAAAAGCAAATTGAGTGCTATAGGAAAGAATTAAATTTGCAATCAAACATCGGTTTCGCATTAGCATTCACATAGCTTTCTATAATTTTGGGTGGTAGGGTGCATCTATTGGTGCTACTTCTTTGTATCTACAACATCAAAAATCAACTTAACGGCCACATAAGATACTCCTTGCCTTTATTTTGTGGTTTATATATATACGTATCGTACATTTATGCATATATATATAGTTAAATATTCGGTGTATGTATATAATGGTTATTCCACATTTTCCGCCGTCACCTCTTCATGTGGTTTTTGATTAATAATTACACATGTATGTACTTCATATATGGTTCTGTGTATATATATATAATTTTATTCCTCTCGCACATTATCGGTAAACTTTAACAATGCGCTGTATCTCAGTTATTATACTAGGTAAAACAATCCGTATCTGTATCTCTCTGCTCACCGTTTAGGTTTATGCACTTGTACTTTAACATTTGTTTATGTATTTTCATAACACACGCTCCGTTTTACGTTACAATCGTGAATCTGGTTTCACGCAATTAATGTTACTATGTTGTGGTTTTTTTGGCCCCCGAAAGAAACTGAAAGGAAAACTATGTATGTAAATGCATTTTACACGTACGAGTTGTATCCAAATTAAAGCAGATTTTCGCTCGCAACCAAAGTTAAGCGACAAACTTGTTCCGCAGTAATGGGATTAACATTTTATGTTTTTGCTAAGTATCCTTTAAGTACATACGAGTATGTATGTGTATGCATGTATGTAGGTATATTCGTGTATATATATAGGATGGAAAACAAAGGACATAGCTTTAAAATACGTGTAAATACTTTGTTTAGTTTGTATTTTATACTAGAAAGAGTTATAAGTCTACAGCATAGGATGCAGTTAAAGATAGGGTATGCATACATATAGATATTACACATTTACATATGGTTTATCCTGTTTTCTTTGTTCTAGTTTTATTATATATCTCTATTCCCCACCTCCTAGTCCTGCTACGCATTCACATATATCTGCTATACCTGTTTTCTATGTTCTTATTTTGTGGCTGCCTTTGATATCGACTACAGAGTTTGCTAGGACACTCAACGGATTATGGTGTTGAGTGCAGAATTTTGTTAAATCTGTTCTACTGTGGTAAATGTGCGCTTTTGCAATTTCCAGAAATAGTTAAACAGCGAATGAAGTGATTTTATGGCACCCTGGGCGCTTAGCTCACCAAATAAGACAACTAATTACACAAACGGAAATGATAGAGTACATTCCTTGCTTAAATGAAGTCTCAGTTCTACAGATCCAACACAAAGGACAAGTATTAGAAGTTACACAAAGGAAAAACACAATCAAACTCAAATGTTTAATGTGAATCAATCCTATTCCAAAATAAAACACAGCCAGCACTTTTATTGAACCTCACACTAAACTCGTTGATAAAACGCCAAGCTGCCTAATGGACGTCGCTACGCGGATGTTTATATGGACCTGACCTCTGACCCTCTGCGCGACCCGCCCTACTTCATCTTCTTGTCCTCGTGCGCCTTCTTCACAATGGCCAGCTTGGAGTGCGGCGACGAGGGGTGCAGGGTGCGGTAGGGCGCCTCCTTGGTGCCATGCAGGACCAAGGACCATTCCAGCAGATTGCCGTGTCGGGTTTGGGGCGAATTGAAGCGAGCCTGTGGGCGGATTCGTTTAGATAGGCCGACTATATAGGCTATTTATATACTACCTCCAGTTTCCAGGTCCCCTGCGGATACTCGCCCCACGAGTGAGTGGTCATGAAGGGCCATTTGGTGAAGCCATCGCGGTGGTCATCATCGTTGGCGCGCCTCGACAGGATCATGGATCTATGGAGCAAAGAAAATGTATTACCACTTTTGAAATAACCAGAAAAAAAATTGAAGACAATTACATAAAACAAAATATTATAAAAACTATCCAGAATTACACAATGCTTATTTAATACACTTACTTGGTGCCCATTGGCGATGTAAGGAAGAGCTCAAGATCCCCGCGACGTGAGGCATTTGCCGAGATCACCGCCTGCACATGTTCCAAATAGTTGACCTCCGTGTCGGTGCCCTTGCAAGCATCGGTTTTGATCTCCCAGAACAGCGAACGGCCCATAATAATGGCCCTGCATTAAGGACAAAAAGGATGAGCTGGCTCAAGCCTAGAAGTAGTTCGTAATGTACTCACTGTGGCTGGGTTAGCTCGCCCGCCTCGCAGTGATAGCGCGGCGGCACTGCATGCCACTGCTTGGATAGTGTGACCATGGCGCCGGCGTCCAGCACTCCGAACCCGAATAGGTGGTTGAACTCCAGGCCCACGCCGTTCATTGTCCAGTGGAATCGGTTCTTGGCATCGAACAGCGAGTTGCGCTTCGATGTCAGCACCGTGAGATGCTGTATGTCCCGCCAAGTCAGCTGCGGACTGCCAAAGGAGTGTGGGTGCAAGTGGGATTAGCATAAATTCATAAAGTGACAAAATAAATACACTCGAAAAAATGGTACTTCCTTGCTTGGTATCCAAAAGATCAAATAACTGCTTTCAACAACACGTTTCTAGCAGATTGTGTTCTGCTAGTTGCTAGTAAACTTATGATTTTCTGGGCACCAATACTTTCGAGTGTATCAATCCGAGGATTACTCACTTGGCCTCCAAGGCCAGGGCAAAGACGCCCGCTGCTTCGGGCGCCGCCGCACTGGTGCCCGAGTGGGTGGTCGTGCACTTGCCATAGAGGTCGGTGGTGGCAACGCCCGTGTTGGGGTCCTTGGCTCCGTTGCTGAATGTGGACGCCAGCGTGGAGCTGCAGCTCTCGTCGTAGTGGGCGTTCTGGCCGTCGTTAATGGCACTGTTAATGGAAATGGTCCACATGGAGGCGGCGTAGCCGTCGCAGTTGCAGTCATCTTCCTCGCCGCCGTCGCCGGATGCCCAAACATAGATGTTGCCCAGGCCATTTCGTCCCTGCGGGTGGTGTGAAAGATTAGCCATAAATTCGAAGAACTGGACCTTGTGGTCCCCAGCGCAACCGTACCTCATTGACGCCCTGGACTATCGCTCGCATGGTGGCATTCCGGGGACCATCCACGGTCTTGCCATCGTCGGTGGGACCCCAGGAGGCGCTGTAGATGTGGATTTTGTGCGGCTCGTGGCCCATGGAGTTGGCCTCGATTAGGTCCGTCATGTACGGCTGATCCAGCATGCGAATGCCTGCGGAGCGAGCGATAAGTATGCATTAAATCTAATGGCGGAAATTATAAATCAATATTTATACGATCCCCGCCAACCGTCACTTTCACTTGTCGTTTTACGGCTATCGTAAAAATTGCAGTGCATTTCCCAGCTCCATCTGTGTTTGTTCGAAATTGGCCCGATTTTTCACATGATTTCTCCCTGGCGCGCGATAAAAAATGTCACAGATAACGCGGCTGGATTTGTGGCCGCACTTGTTGCCTGCCCATTCCTAAGAAAGTATATCTCTCATTTCACGTAAAAATCACATTTTATCGAAGCTCAATTTATAATGATGGAACGCGCCCCATGAACCTTACACTTTTCACTTATGTACATGGCTGAATCTGACAATTGATTCACCACGTCTTTTCGCGGATTACAGTGCGTATGCGTAATGCGATTTATCCGCCGAAAACTTTGGAGGTCAGGACCTCGAAGGCGTCGCTGTACACGCGTATGTATATTTATTCAGCGGGTTCTGCCAAAGCCACTTACCTGCGATTTTGCTGTCATAAGCAACGCCAACGCCGCAAATTCCATTATTTCTGGCAGCAGCCACTTCGCCGGCACAACGAGTTCCATGGCTGCAAAATGTAGTAGCGGACGAGGATGAGATAAGGTGATACATAAACAGAGCATCCTGCAGGTAAGCAGCTTAATAATAAGTGCTCTCCATTAAGCAGGTCGCATAAGCTGACAAACTATCAAGTGAATGGAGCTCCAGTGTCGAGTGAAAAGAGCATTTAATTCCGCAACTGCCTTTTAATTAGTCGAAGTTTTCTTAGTCAGAACGAGGACAAAGGCAGCTTAACCCATCAAGTTGGGGTTGCCATTGAAATCGTATGACACAAACAAATTATCTTCGACATTCCAGACATTCCAGTTGGCTGTCGAGGACATTTCCCCCCAAAATCGATAGCTTTCCCCATTCGCATCCACTTACCTGTTGAACCAGTCGTCGGTGTATCGGGGATATGGAAAGGGATCGTTACTGCTGAAGTCATAACTGGCCTCGGCGTTCTGGAAATGAGCAGATGAAACCAGATTAAATGCGAGCTGAAATGTGTGTGCGGTAAGTAGGTTTTGCTGTAGCTTTTGGGAAAATTATTCAATTTATTTTTGGAAGCAGACCTCTCACTCGACCCGTTTGCATATGCATGGCAGATAAGCACAAGCACTTTGACAATAATAATGGTGGAAAGTTTTGGTGTCAGGAAAAGTTGAAGCTTTTAGCTTCAATTTCCTGCCAACTTGTATTATTATGCACATTAGGGGCTTCAACGGTTCGTTGTGAAGCAGTTCCGCAGCTAAATGAAATTGCACATATAGAGCCACAGCAACAGTTACAGTTGGCCCTTTGGCCATGAATAATTCCACATTGGCAACCGATATGTGCAGTAAGCCAAAATTTAATTAAAAGCTCGCTAGTGCCATTTGACGGAAAGCGCAAATTGAAAGGGTTTCCAGCCATTTCAGCCATTGTGCGTGTGGGTTGTACTCACATAATTGAATTTCAGATCCGGATGCATGTAGTCCACGCCTGGGCAGAGAAAGCGCCACAATAAAGTGTAAGATAATAAACCAGTAGATTGAATTTATACGTTCGTTTCCGAAAATACTCACCATCATCCATGATGGCCGTCGTAACATTCTTCCCGGTGATCCCCTGGGCCCAGGCAGCCTGCACATTCAGATCCAGCCTGACTTTGCCGCCATTCTGGCCCGTGTTCTTGAGGTACCACTGCATGGGAAAGTAGGGGTCAGTGGGCTCCTCGTCAATCCGATTGGCCTCGCCCACTTTCAGGTCGAACTTCATGCCGTGGATGGCGGGCACCGCCGGTCGCAGGCCCCGCTTAACCCGCTTGAATCCCGGCTGTTGCACGGCCGTATGCACCTGCGGAAGGAGAGAGCCCATTAGCGTTAAGGTCGACGTGGTAACCACAAAAAGGGGTTATGCTGATGGGCCATCTGTCACAGAACCCAAACTCCATGTCTGTCCCATGCGGGTCATTGTAATGCGTGTGCCTTCCAATCCAAAGCTGTACAAACAGCTGTGAACAGAAACGAAACGCCCTTGTTTGCATGCCAATTTCCATATTGTCCTTCCACCTCCCAATAAGTGCCCACTCCATGTGCCTTGTGTGCATTGTGCACCCTGATTATCGACTCTGGCCTATTGGCACGTTCCACTCCGTTGGCCAAATGGACGCACGACCGAATGCAATGCAATCGATGTCCGTTATGCAGAACGGCAAACAATGTCCGGTGCAAACTATTTCGGGAGCGTGAAATGAACTCTGGCATTTGGCATTTGTGCGTAAAAGCAGGCACATTGTTACAAGCTGACCCATACAATTGTGTGATTCGTGTTTGACCGCCTAATTTATTGCAAATTATAGAAAATTATGGGGGAAGAATGTTTTATTTAATGAAAGAAACGAGTGTATACTAGGATAATCAGTGGGAAGTCCGACAAAGTGAAGTAGAAATATTATTTTTCCAGGACAGTCCGTGATAGTAATGCGTACTAATGTGAAATCAATGTGGAAAAATTGCAAACACCCCATTAGTATTCGTTTCTGTGTCTGTATTCCAAGCCATTGCATTGAGCACGTTCCTACCTTTTTTCAAACGAACTAACAGCAAGTGTGCCAGTTTCCCTTTCGACCTTGATGCGAATGCGAATGCGAATTTTCTGCATTTCCCACTTTCCCATTTCCCACTTTTTATACTTCTACTCACCGCCGGATGGCTCTTGAGGGCCCGTGTGTGCGTCAGACTCCGCCTGGAGCGGGCATGTGGAAGGGTCCGGTGCTTGAAGTGATACTCGTGTCCATCGGCGCCGACCAGCTGTAAGGAGTCCAGAATGCAGGGCAACATTTTATTAGAGTGCGTGGCGTTTTAATTGAGGAAAACACATTAATTCTCTGCTTGTTTTGTGCCTAGAAGCGTGACCCGTAATTGCGCTCTAATTGAGTTTGGCCCCAGCCATTCCTCACACATTCTGAAGGAGAGGCGGGAGGGTGGTGTGCCCATAATTGTGCTCTAAATTGCCAGTCATAATCATCATCTGCTGCAGGAGCAGCAACTTCAACATCATCATCGTTAATTGGCTTTGGTAAATTGAGTGCCAGCAGCCAGTAGAGCCAGTAATTTTCCATTTTTCCCCACTGCAATTTTAGTGAACGGGATCTCGAGTTTCCACACGATACGTGACGGGCCTTCGGGCCAAACCCACTTTCACTTGGCCAATGGCAGGCCGCCCTTGGGAAATGGACCACTATTTTCGGCCTACTCGTACACGCTGGCAAAATGGTCTTTTATCAAGATTACAGATTTTTCATCATAAAACAAGTCCGCGCTTTATATAAGTTGGATTTTCCTCCCAAGTACTTGTGAACACCATTTACGGTATGGAAACTGAGGCATTTATCATACTCTGGTTCTACCGCACTATTTCCCTAAGTGTACGATTTTGATCCGCCTGCAACATGTTGCTCATCCCTGAGCCATTGGAGACTCGAATGGCATTTGGCCAGCTGCTGGGCGTTATATAACTTTGCCCTTTTGGACGGATGGCCGGGCGGGCGACTGGCGTCCTGCATAATTCAGGCTTACGTCGTGATTAATTAGCAGCTGTGCGGCGTTGAGTGCCTTTGCTATCAATTCATAATTCGCGCAAATGCGCATCAATAAAACGGGAGACATCTGTGGGGAGCGGCGATGACAATACCCATCAATTTGCCAGCCAAATAAGCCCGACTGCGAATCTATTTTTAAGACGCGCCTCATTACCAAAGCCAGCCACAAATTATAAGGACGTCGAATTGAAAGGCTTCCCAGCAGGAGCGGTAAGCACACGTGGGTAATTGCCTTAACCCAGCCAGTAACTGACTAAACAAAGGTTTTTGCTAACCATCGGAGTTCCATCAACGTGAACTTATGCAAAACCCGCCCACGCGGCCATTTTAAGGATTCTCGCCCGCTTCGCAGCAGCATTAAATATGAATAGGGACATTTGGGTAAGCGAACTGAGGCAGAAGAATGCTTTCACTCCTTTCGTGTTTCGGCATTTATGGCTTTTCTGACCGCTGTCTGCGAACTTTCAATTCAGCTTCAACACTTTCGCCGCAAAGGAATGAAGCTGCGCGGAAAGGGTTGCAGGAATAGCAAAAATTGCTTTGATCAGCGGAAAATGGGAAATTCTGAGTAAGCGTTGGAAGCGTTTAATGAATTTTAAGTAAACCTAACAACCAAAATAGGAAACCCTTCGGTGGTACGTACATAAGTCAAAGGCGGAAAATCAACGGAAGCAATTAATTACTATTAACCATGAGGTACTAAAATATATTTAACGAGAAAATAGTTCAGTCTATGTGCTCTTCCTTAGATGTAAGAAATTAAATTCCAAAGGAAAGTATGTTTTTATTTGGGTCACGCCTTATTGTTCTTGATTTATGAAGCTCAAACATAAACTTAAGACCTGACAGCTATCACAAGCATTTCCAGAAATACGCGACAGAAATTCGACATTCATTTACAGACACTGGGCCATAAATTGATAAACTCGTAGCCAGCCACGTCAGCCATCACCACCAGCACCAGCACCAGCACCAGTCGATAAATGGCCCCACCCAACCGGAGGAATATTGGCGGGGTGGATTCAAAGTCCAGTGGTTTACTTAGGCGCCAAGTGCCGCGCATAAGTAAGCGGGAAAACAACGGCAAGGCGCGTAACTTGAGGGCCATCAATCCGTTGACTGCTGTCAATCACGGCCATCCACAGACAGTTTGAGTTTGTCTATTTTTATGCCCTGTTAATTTGCGTGTAAATTACTCAATGGGTACTGCAACAGCTGGCCAGCTGGATTGCTTGGCCTCTACTAGCCAGTTTAATGGACTTCCTAAGTATGTTGCCAGCTTACAAAAAATGGAGATAGATAACGATAGATAGCGTATGCGCACAGTGGGCGCTCTTCATCGCACACGGCACACAAATAAAGAATGGGAATTAACTAATCTGGTCGACATTTGACCACATGCCGCTAAATTGCTGGCATATTTTTAGATATCCCGCAAATTTGCGGATTTTTCTTCATAAGCACACCATATGGTATACCGCATCCCCACAGACAAGTGAAAGTCAAAGTGAAAACAAAACCTTCAGTCACTCGGATTTATGTGGGTGGAGCTGAGCACAAATATTAAGAGCAACAAAGCAGGACGTCTAATGTAGCAATATAGCTGCCATTGTGTCTGTGTGCACGGGTCGCCATTATAAATATAATGTGTCACACGGGGTGATAACGGGGCTAAAATAAAGTAAGGACAGCCTCGTGGCAAATGGCAGCTGTTCGCCACCCCCCTTTCGCTCAGTGTGTGCGTCTGTGTCCAAGTGTGTAAGTTATTCAAGCTTAACACCACCCACACGCGAAAGTTGGCGAAAAGCTCACATGGTGCGTCTGTGTTTGAGTCACAACCATTGCTCATTCCTTCGCCTGCCAAAATGGTGTCTATAATTAGTTGGCTGTCGCATTTAAATAGCAAATTTATTAACGAGAAGCCGTTGGCGTCTTCGACCCTGCGACACTTGTTGCTCCTCGACAGGACAACAGCTGTGTAGTTACATCACGGCCAAGGAATTTCGGTGTGGGCGACCCTATCGCCGGTTCGTGGCCACAACTCGCCCGCGCCATGACACGTCATTTCTCTTGGCCCGTCAGCATCAGAAATTTATGGATTTTCACTCGCCCCGTGCAAATCCATGCTAGGTAAATGAAAAACCCGCTGAAAAAGCTGAAATATCATCAGTTGCGCTGTACATGACAGCTTCGCCCGTATATACTATATGCCACCATGTATTTATGTGCAGCAGATATTTCACAGAGCCTGCGAAATAGCATACAACAATGGACCAATGGACGTAGGTAATGGGCGCTTGTGTGTGCCCTGGGGCTTAAAGGACTTTAAGTTGTTAATATAGCTCTCTTTGTTTACCTTAATCGAATTCTTGCTCGGTCAGCTGACGACAGTACACAATGGTGGACATTCAACAAGTTGAGCAAACAAACTTGCCTTTAAAGCTGATCAAATATTTAGTTTTCAATGCCCTAAAAATGTGTGCCTTAGAATGGGAGAATAGCTTCCTTTTTTAATAAAATACGCATTCTTGTAACATCCTACGCCATAAATTTGTTATTTGCATGCATTAGCATTTTTAATCTAAAAATACTGGCGGCTATATTCAATATTTCCTCCAACGAAAATTGAAAACATTTCCAGGAAGCATAGAAGCGTTCCCTGCCTTCCACATCCGCAGAAAAGTAGGCAACAGAATATGTGAATAGCGTATGCGATTCATCTCCGTTAAAAGCCATTACGCAATCGTCGCATTTCATTTGTTTCCCAATATTGAAGGCCCCGAGGAATAACCATTCATCAATTTGTAACTCAGTTGGCCAAAATGCCCCAGTTTAGTTAACCAACCAACGTCAGAAGCAGGCGTTTATCAAGGACAGGCGCAGTCACTTTATCAGAAGGTGGCCAATTTTTCTAGTGGCATTAGCCGTCAATAACTACTGGCATACACATAATATAGATAGCAGTCGGGTTAGCATGTGATAAATGTGTTCGCAGTGCAGCTGCGCTAATTGGAAAAATAGCCGTCCTTCCCGCCATTCTCGCAATTAATCAATCAATCAATCAATAATGGGAAAACTTGTCGCTGCACTATTGTGTTTGCTTAAATTATCGCTACAAGCGAAAATCACTTGTGCAGACTACTGAAACGGACGGAGTGCCAAATGATAGCATTTTATCGTGCTGGTATAGAGAAAAGCCTCATTAAGTGTTTTTTCCCCATCTGTCAAGAGTGGCACTTTTATTCAATTGAAAAATACGCCAAAAACTTGCGTGTCTTTACTGCGCTAAAACAATGCAAATAAGCGTGTTTGGATTGACAGCTTGGCGTTCCACACAAATCCAGTCGTCAATAAATGGCATGCAAATTTGCACAGCCTTAAAATTAGAAGACCTCGATGGCAGGTGGCGAATTGGAGAAATGCAAATGAGTGTCCTGGCCCAGGACTCGTGAATAATTCAGCAGGATGCGGCGACAAAGGAAACGGCAAAGACAAACAGCTGCGCACAACTCGACTAATAAGCTTTGATTGAGGCTCATGGCATGTGCCCGTGATTATGGCGTTTGATTTGCCGACTGGATCAATGGTTAGACTTGCACAAATTGAATTAAGCTTCAGCCAGTGCCATATATATTAGATGAATTTAAGCTGCGACTGCACAGGAAATTGCGCTTTGACTCGCAGCTTAAACTGGGTCAAATTGTAAGGCCAGCGCAATTGAAAGCAGCGCAATGGTAGTAAGCCCTTAAGACGCTTTTCTATTCGGAGCAGGGCAATACCAGCACACAACATAATTATCTGGAGCGCTCTGTTGACATTGACATGCCATCGCCGGGCAGACACTGCGTATGAGCGATTTCTCAAAGCACACGGAGGCAGCTCGACACTTTTCGAAGTGGGCAGTCTCTGCAACGAAGGCAGCTGGCAGTTGGCTAATTAAATTTCAAGATATTCATCTAATTTTATCGGAATGAAATTTGCCGCATGCAAACAAAACTTTTACTCACTGACCTTTGGCATTTAGAGGCGTGCACACGCAAAAGCCAGGACGTTTAAAGAAAATAAAAATGTAATTATGTATTGTGTGTTATTCACACACTCGTTTATCAACTGCAGACGTTTCGGGAGTGAGGCACTGAAAAGTTTTTTAATTATTTACAGAGCAAGCGGCACGTTTGGTCTTTGTGCCTGCCTCGGTTTCCACTTTTTGTGGCTCTCGAAGCACTTTCCTTCTCGTTGGAGCAAAATATTTGACAAAACTTTGGCCCGAGTGTTGATTTATTAAATTGTTTAGCCACAGTGGCAGACCGACAGCCAAGGATGCTCGAAAGGAGCCGGATCAGAGCAGACGTAGGAGAGGCAGTGATGTGTGCATTAGCGACACCTGTCCAACTGAGACAACTGTGCGGGCCCAGGAGCACGGTCCATTGGTTCCATTATGGGAGCTGATCCACGCTGAGCCCGGCAGCTTGTTTACAGCATGTCTATATATAGAGCCTCCTACACTCGCCTCCATCAAATGAATATCCTTGCGAAAAACACCGAGAAAAGTTAAGCAGGCACCGGCTAAACTAGTTAAAGTTCGGTTACACATTTTGTGTGACCTCGCTTAAGCGAAGCCCGAAAACTTTCTAATTAGCATTAGAGCCCTGTGAAATCCCAACCATTCTCTTGATGTCATATTTATAGTTTAAAACTCATTTGTCAAATGATATGTCCAGGGGCAGACAGTGGGTTGCGTAACACAATATTCCCAAATAAGAACGAAAAGCTGGCAAATATTTACCAGATGTTGGGCTTCCGTCGTCACATAAGTAGTAGAAGTAGAAAGTAAAGGTAACTTTGGTAATTTTATTGGGCCAGTGTCGACCTATTAGAGCGATCAAAATTGAAAGTAAGTCTGACGGACCTTGAGTTGTCTTTGGTACTCACTGAGATTCTATTGTGACTTTCCATATATGTTCATTATTTATTCTGCTTTGTCTTTGAAGTCAGTTTCTCTCAGATTTGGCTTATATAAATCCCTTCAAAAGGAAATATATTACAGCTTGCATTATTTACACGAGGCATCACTCTCAGTTGCTGCAAGTTAAACCTCTTTTATGCAGTCCATAAACCTCTGCAAGTGTGTGTCATAAACAGCAGCATAAATTTGGAATGGCTTAAAATGCATGTATCCCGTTTCAATTTAAGGCAATGCACTTATTTTTAGTTCTTTAACCTGTTTCAATTTAAGGCAATGTACTTATTTTTAGTTCTCTAACCATAAATGCCGGTGGCAACATGGAATAACCAAACGGCAAACTATTCAGAGCCAATTGCTGCATTAATAGTCGAAAATCTTCCATCTGTGAGAAATTGTTGTCATCTGGTCCCTACAATAGCCAGCCTTTGTCCGGCAAGCCAGCGAGCTGCTTTCCAGGGCTAAAAATAAATAAATAATGCGCCTGGACTCGGGCCGCAACACTGCGTATACGTGATAAGGCATTGTGTGCGCCGTGGTGGCAAGTGGGTGGCGTGTGTGCCAGTGGTTTTTGGGGCGATGGAGCGATGGAGCGAACTTTTTCCGAGGCCCGGCATCTTGAACTCCAACTGCGTCTCTGTTTGTCCAGCGCAGTTCACTGGAATGGGGGGGCGCCTCCTTTGTTTGTCTTGTATTTGCCAACATATGCTGCCAGCCTTGGGTTACAAATGTCCGTGCCTTTAATTTGCAACCATCTAACCATCTGGGCGAGCGACCACCGAATTTGTAAACTCGTTTTTCATTTGGCATAATAAATGAAAGGAAAACAGTCAGCGATAAGCAAACGGAGACGAATGTGCCAATGTCAGACCGCAACGTCATTTCAACATTTGTCTTTGCAGATCAACTCAGCCCGCTAAAAAGCAACAAAATACCGTTTGGTTTTCTGTGGCAAAGGGAAACTTATTAAGTTGAAAATATGCGGTCCAACTACGGGTACTCGCTGGCATCTTAATAAGGTCACAACACTGTTGCATAATTTATGAGAAAACTATGGCTTAGCAGTATGAAACTATGCATAGCAGATGAGCGTTGACATTTCAGGAACTGCTGATTATGTAGGACAAGCTTAAGAAAGCAAATACTTGCAATGTGTGTGGAGAATGAATTACAAGGAATAAGGACATCTGAAAGAAAGCTACATACTCCGCATATTAGGGACTCAGACAGGACTCAGGATTTTAAAGCGCATTTCAGTTATACCACATTTAAGGATGAATTTTTGTATTTATTATTGCCTGACGAGGCACTCTAAGCTAGAGTGCACATTTAATATCCCTCATAAATGGCTTTCCGCCTCATAAAGTACTATCTTTTAATTCGAAAAAATCGTAGGAGCTTTGCTGATATTTCTTTCTATGCCCATAAACGTTTCTGTAATAATCTGCTTTGCTGTTGCAATCACCATTGTTGGTGATGTTCTTGGGACTTAGAAGGGCTTTTCAAACAGCAACACCAGCAAACAACTAACGCCTGTTGCCGTTGGCCACGTCAACTGGAGTCCTGACTTAACGCTTTATGCAAGGATTTGGCTCACAGCCCGACAACGAAGACAAGCGGCTCAAAAGGATGGTGCTGCTGGTCGAGGGGGCGTGAGGGCTCAATGACAGGTGAGTTTGTTGGCTTTTAAAGTTGGTACACACGAGCCAGGCAGACACACTATGCACGCTCAAAGGCTTTCGGCCCGGTCGTAGGTAAACTTAAATCCATCGCAAAGACCAGTCGCTTTGTGGTGTTAGCCAAGTTGGGAAATTACTCTTGGCCAAACACTGGGCTGCTGGTATTAAACTCCGCCAATTGCGTGGGCAGAAATCCTGCGTGGGCAGTGAGCAGGCATACATATGTATTCACTTGAGCAAGAAATTGACTTTCGCTTTCTTTAGGCCACACAGCGAGCCCCATTCAAGTTTCAGGGCAGCAATTACATTCAACGCGGGATCGGGATTTATTTAGATTTGCACGGCAATAGCTGACTGAATCTAACGTTTTACTGCCGATAAGGTCGTAACACCAAAGGCAATAAAATCTAAACACACTCATTGTCAAAGTCCCGCTGATAAGATGCGGCGTATACGCAATATCGATTGGAATGAGAGCAAAAGTGAGCCTGCCCTGGGTAAGCACTCACTTTTGGTTTGGGATACATTTTGATTTGTACTGGGCGATAGCGTTTGACGTAGGAGCAACAGATTTCATTCGAGTTTTATTTTTCGTTGTTTCCTTCCCTTTTTTTTGTTGTTTGGTCTTTGATACATGTGCCGCAATTTTATTACGAGGACCACACCCACGCAGAGCATGGGATTTTTGGGCAATTATCTAAAACGAGTTCGAAGTCCGGAGGCGAAATGCCAACAGGCTGCAATTTGTAATTAAATCGGGGGCTATTTTTAAAACTTCGAGCAGGAAAATCGTTCAGCTCTGATGGGATTATATGGGCTATTGAGTAAGTAAAAAATCAATAATACAAGTAATTACGAGGCTACATACATAATTAGACTGCAAATTCCGTGGAAAAAGATTGTCTCCACGGGCATGAAGTAAATCGAAAGGAATTGCCCAGAAATCCGCTCGTGTTTCGTTTGCCAGGAAAAACATTCCGACGCAATTAGTCCTTTTCCCAGGACCTCTATGTACGCCTGTGCAATGCGCGAACTGTGTCCATGGCAACTGCGGCATGCAATCAGCTTTTGGCTGCGATGGGGGCAGATGAGATTGCGCCATTGCAAACTGCATCGATGTCGCAATGAAGCCATCGGATAACAAGGACCTCTCCATCCGCCAGGAACAGCGAGCCGGGGCCTCAGGTGGCGACTGGATATCGGATTACCCAGGAATGGGGCAGTTAATTGGATTTAGCGCCAGCTTTATGTAGTCCCGCTCCTCCCCCTTTCCGATTCCCCCGATCTCATTGCCGGTCCTCCACTTGTTATTGATGCCCCCAATTAATTGTGTCCGTTCCAGCTCTTGAATTCGCATTAATCCTAAACTCCCCGAGTGAGTTATTGACCTAATCCGAGTGTGTGCAACAAGTGCGCGTCATAGCTGTCAAGTGCTGACAGAATTGGGTAATGGTTATGCATTATTTTGACGGATGACAAACCCATAAGAGGGTTTATCGATGCGAATCGCAAGGCTGACAGGATTGCAGAACCCTGCCGTGACAGAGAAGTGAAAGTCCACAGACTTTGCACAAGGAATTACAAAAGGAATGATTTGTATAATAAGCGAATATATAAGGACAATACGTCATGATTATGATTATGCATACATAATTGATAAGGGGTTTAGTTGACAGTCTTTATCCATACACTTGGGTATACTAAGTATTCACTCATAAGTCCGTAGAGAAAAAATAAAAACGTTTAGATACACCATTCTTCGAAGGAATGACCGGTCAAAGTGCCACAGACAAGCTATTCGAGTGCAAATCACTGACCTATTATGCTGTTATTTTCCCCCGTGTGTGGGCAAGTTTATTTTCGCCACATTGACCTTGGCTCGAATGCAATGGCTCTTTAGCATGCAATGCGCAAATTTGCGCCTGTCGGTATGCAACGAAAACTCCGCTGTGCCGACGGAAGTTGGCCAATGCCGCCACAAGCCCCAAAAAACTTTCGCGCTTGCCAGCTGGCCCAAAAGCTGCCTTTGGCATTCCGAGCACGCTCCTGGCACACACTACCACACACACACACCAGGACACTCAAGCACTAGGACACCCAGACCCCCCGAGCAATCGCAATTAACGCCTGACACGCGCCCGACAAGTGCAGCATGTCAACCTGAAGCGCTGGCAACTTGGCCCAAAAGAAGCGACCAACCAAGCCGGCCGTCGGCAATATAATAATTGATTTTTCGCACAATCGACTTACCGGGCCTAGGTTGTCGAAGCCGTACTTGTCGGCCACATCATGGGCAAACGCGTTGTCCACTCCGCGCCGGAAGCGCACCAGGAAGGAGCTGGTGAAGACGGAGGGGCCGCTCAGTCCCGCTCCCGATCCGCCTGCTCCGCCGCCCGCTCCTGCACTGGCCCAGTGGAGGAGCAGGAATGGGGCCAACAGCCAGCTCCATGTGGCTGCTGCCATGGAATTCAGAGTGGACGCCTTGGTCCTGCGGGTTTCTCCTGGCTCCCGACTCCTGGCGGCGATGGGGCAACTCTGGCAGCCCGTACAAACGATGAGTGCGTGGGGCGTCCTTTTGGGCTTTTTTTTCCCGTTGGCAGGATACCGATGTGCTGACGAAAGGAAAGGACGCGCTCCACTGCACACCCTGTGCTTTATTTCAGAATTGGGCACGCGAGTTGGGTGCCCAGGATCAAGTTGCTCGGCTGGCAAAGTATCCTTTTGTTGTGGTTGCAATTTGTTTTCTTTATTGTGTATTTGGGGCCCGTTCTCTGGAGCTTGTTGTGCTTTCCTTCCGCCTGGAGTTCTTTTTCATGTACTTCGGCTGGGTTCTTTGTGCGCTGCCACGAACTTCACTGGGGCGCTGCGCGCTGAGTACTGCTCGCCAGCGGTACCGTCGGACGCCATTATGAATGTCCGCCAGGCGCCAAAGCGGTGGCGAAAGCTCCGCCGCAAAGCTCGCTCGAAAGCTCCATCAAGCAGCCGATAAGCCACCCGCCACCCGCCACCCTCCACCTGCCACCCACTCGACGCACCCCTAGCGGAGATACTGCTGTCTTACTAGCTTCACCAGTGGCGTGCACAGGACTCTTGCAAGGGGTTACTACTGTTAGCCCTTACAGACAAAACTAGGAATGCGCTGGCAAAACCAGAGTTACGCTAGAAAAACTAGAATTACGCTAGCAAAACTAGAGTTACGCTAGCAAAACTAGAGTTACGCTAGCACTACTATAATTACGCTAGAAAACCTGGAATGGAGCTATCCAAAATATGTACAATGTACGAAGTAAAATGATATCCTGCTTAAATAGATAAGCTTACACAAGCGATAAAGTAGGTAATAGCTTAAGGATACTTTGAACCCCACTTAATCAATGCGACTACGCCACTGCGCGCCTGGTACCGCTCAGCTGCGTTGGCTAAGCTTTCGCTCTGGCTTTTCCCCCTGACTCTGGCTTTCCATCTCGGCTGGCTTGGCTTTTGCAGCGGCTTTAGCTGCCCGCAGACGTCACCAGTTTGGCCGCCCGCTGCCATTAGCCACCCACCATTCCGTGCTAGGTTGTAGCCAGTGTGTTTTGTCATTGGTTTATGCTGCGCTCCGCAAACATATGGCAGCATACTTGACTTTCGCTGACTTTCGGCACGACTCGACTGGAGTCGCATGCTCCTCCGGCTCGGAATGCGAAGGGACTACTGACGACTGGAGGAGGACTATTCATAAACATGAGCGCAATTGCCTCTTACGCGTAATGGCTGCGAAAGGGCTTCAACTTTGACCTTAGCCCAAATAGGTTCATAAAGCCTCGAGCACCCAAGCCTTTAAACTGCAGGCCAAGCGAAAAGTGAAGACAGCTGGGGCAACTTTCGCCGGCTTTTCATGCCGACTTGATTGTTGCCTCTTCTTTTAAGTGCGAGATGGGATTCACACACTTTCATTTCATTTGCCATAAATTCGGCTTCCCAGGGAGATCCCTTTTCAGACGGCTCATTGCATTTTAAATATAATTTTTTATATGAACTTCTCATAAATTAAATGTGGGTAAAGTTCGTTTGATTGGTAACGAATAAAAGGAAATTCCATTTAAGTTCCTGGAAAAAAACTCATTTTGAAATCTAATGGACACACATATAAAAACTAGCCAGTTAAAATTAAATAATTGTATATTAAAACTTAACAGGATGAGGTGTAGTTTTTATTTGTTTTTCGGTACAACCTATGTAATAAAAACGGAAATTATGAAATACTTCTGTATACACTAGATTATTATGGCTTGGGTCTTAAATTGTTCATACATATAAAAAACAAGCATAATGTAAGCTGTTACATTAGGCTAAATACAACTTTTATATAGGAATTTCAATTTAAGAATATTTCAAATAAGTTTACCAAGTGGAAAAAATAAATTTTCATTGAAACATGGATGCAAAACGATCGACCATAGCTGATGGTGCGGAATTTAAGTGACAAGTGTAATGAAATGCTAATTTTGTCGACTTCATTAGGTGCTTCTCAAGCAGCTCGAAGTCGTGAAAAACTCCAACTGACCTATTTATGTACATCCATATCCTGAATATGGAAACAGAAATCCTTCGCCTACATTTCAATTAATTTAAAACGCTGTCGCACTCAACGAGCTTCCTATCCGTGAATGGAAGTTCAACCGGGGGACGACAATTCACTGCTTGTCGGCGACCAGTCGTATCCACCTGTCCGTCGTGCCACCTGTGCTGGTGGGCGGCGCGTTCGCAGCCCGATAATGCCGAACATATGGCGAGTCGCATGCGCCGAACGAACGCAGAGGCATTCGATGCGAATATTAAGGGTTCGCTTTAAATTACAATTAATTTTTAATTAGCCTTAAATGTACATTTTCAAAGACGCTTTAGAGCTGCATTAATCAATTAGCGTACTCGTATACAAAATGCTGAAGGAAAGGGGCACGCAAGTCAAGCGAAATAAAACGAAAAATCTTAAATCTAACTTTGCTCATCACAATTGGTACTCGCTGTGGGGAAGCTGATTGTGTTCAGGGGCTGGTTACCTTATCGGGTTTCATTTCCGGCTGCCAAAGAGTTTGCCGCGCGCTGCAGGGAACGAAATGATGAGTTTGCTTTGGTCTACAAATGTTTAACTTTGCTGGCACTTACCGTGCGATGTGGCTGGGGACAGTGCATGCGAGCTGGCATGCCGTTTGATGCGGGGAGTGTCCCTTAGCTCTGACCCAGATGCGGAGGAGGCACTTGTACAGGCATTTAAATTGGCCGTCACATTGGTCAGGGTAGACACTCCGCTGGACGAATCCCCTGTGGTTGGCATTGATTTGTACCGCTGCAGCGAGGTACGTGGCTTCTTTGGCATTGTGGCCTGCTGCACAGCCTCTTCTAGAGCATTTAGCCAGTCCTCGCCCTCGCTTTCGTCTTCCAGAAATTTCATGTAGAAGGAAGGTCGCTTTGCCGTGTGGTGCCTGGTGGGTGTGGTGCTTGTGGTTGTGGTTGGTTTGGGAGGTTCTTGGTGTTCTATTTTGGACTCCAGTTGCTGGGAGGCCTCGAGCAGGAAGAGATCCGTTTCCGAGTCGTTGAGGAAGTCTGCCATTGGATCGGAGGCAGCTGTCGGTGGAAGCACTGGCTCTGGGGTGGTTTTCTTACAGGCTGATCTTGTCCGGGCTGCAACAGGTGGTGGAACTTTGGGAGTTTTGTGTGGCATTACTGGTTCGGACACAGCTATCTGTTCCAACTGGCTATTGAGCCTAGCACAGCGCTCCTTAAGGAGAACATTGGCCCGCATCTGCTGTGCCCGCCACTGCTCATTGTCCAGTTGGCTACGTCTATCCTCGACGCCCTTAAAAGCTATCTGCCTACGTCGTTCCCGCTGGCTTAAACTGCCTATTTCCGCCGAGTCGAAGCCACTGTCCGTGGTGGCATTGCTGCTACGGTTCCAGCGCCATCCCACCTCCGGACTTTCGGTGCCCAGCGTCTGAGAGAAGAGGCAGCTGGGCGAGAGGCTGATGTCCAGGCGGGGCGAGAAGTCCACACTGTCGTCCAAGTTGGGATTGTGCTTGTGGGGTGGCGTGCTCTCCAAATCGGACGTCATTCCCACTACTTTTGATGTGTTGGGTGAGCCGGGAGTGTCCAAGGATACACTTACATTGTGCCCTGGGCGCACGCTCTGCGGTGAAGCTGTGGAAAATAAAGATTGTTTTATTGGTATTCCTGTTTTATTTTTAGCGGCGTCTTGCTTACCACTGTGGCGCTTCTGCAGGAGACGCGTACTGAGCGTCAGAGATCGCCGTTTGAGCGCGTTCTCCATAACTATGACTTAATGGAATAACTAACTGCGATCAAATTATTTAACTAATCAAATTTGTTTTGGTTTGCGCCGGAGAATGCGCTAAAAATTAAAGTATGCTGGCAGTGTTGCCAGATGGCACTAGTAAAAAGCACACCTGGTCACTCTGCTATTCAACTAGTACCGGTTATAGCCCTTTCCCACTTTTTCGCATAGCTCATTAGAAAATACATTTTCAAATATGTATGAATATGCTTTGTTGTTTAAATACAATCAATTTATATATGTTTTTTAAAGTTAGTTCTGTTACTTATAGTCCCACCAATGCAAAAAGCTGTCTGGCAGTTTGAGCTAAATAAAGTATGTTTGTGTGGGAATCCACTAGAAATATCGTATATATATGTGCAATAGCAATATATCCGAAATAAAGATAAGTATATAAAATATACCAATATAGAAAATAAACCCATCAATATATAATTATTTATTGTTCATTAAAACGTTTAGTAATTAAATTATTGTATTGCATACATTCTGGTAGGCGGAAGGGCTTCGGTATTTCGAAACAATAAACTCCGGTCACACTGCAAAATGCTTATGGTGATGTGTTAAAAACCAAAGTTTTGAATACAATTTACTGATCCAGGAAGATGAACTACAATCCAAATCCGGGTATGCGGAACCGTAAGTGGGAGAACTGTAAGGATCAGGCTACGCAAGCAAGTATACCCGAAGGATGTCCTGTGCAGCCACTCCGGAATATCCCCAGCCGCCGACCGACCGGAATCCGGAGTGCTGTCACTGTTTACGTTACACGTTACCCCGTATTGTGCGCCGCTCCTGGCTCCCACTGCATCCTGCTCCCCAATTTCTATGCCTGCCCTGCGTTTCCGTTCCGTGCTGCGTGTGTAGCTTGAGTGCCTGTGTTCCCCGCTTCCCAGTTGTCTCGTATAGATCCTCCGGCACTAACTAATGATTGCTCTGTCCCAAAATAGCCTCAGCTGCCGGTCGCCCAAGGCCACCGAAGCGTGTCAGTGATGTTAATGCCATGGGACCCTCGGCTCCGATGATGGGCGGTGGCGCCACATTCATGGTACCGCCCTCTGGCCCCGGAATACTGGATCCCAATATGTACGGAGCACCTGCTCCGGCGCCGGTTAACAGCTATGGCTTCGACCCCAATCTCGGCCAGCCATCGCAGCACATGCAGCAGCCACCACAACAACAGCCCGGATTCGGTTATGGAGCACCACCCCCTCAACAGGCGGCTGCTCCACCCACCTTCGGAATAGGAGCACCCCAGCCTGGGGCTCCACCAACTGGACAGTACCCACAGTTCGCCATGTTCCAGCAGCCCATCGTGCAAGACATGGCCATGCAGTATGGTCAAAAGCTAGCGGATCAGGGCAAGCAGATCATGGAGAATCAGTTCGAGAAGTGGGTGCCCGTAGCCAAGCTCAAGTACTACTTCGCAGTGGACAACGCCTACGTGGGCAAGAAGTTGCGTCTTCTCTTTTTCCCTTATATACATAAGGTGAGTGGTGACACACAAACGGAGAAACCATATAACTTACATACCCCTTTTAGGACTGGTCCCTGCGTTACGACCAAGAGCACCCAGTGCAACCACGATATGATGTTAATGCCCCAGATCTCTATCTACCCACGATGGGCTACATCACATACGTGATCGTGGCGGGTTTGCTTCTGGGCATGCAGAAGCGGTTTTCACCGGAGCAGCTTGGCATTCAGGCCTCCAGCGCCATGGCATATAGCATTTTCGAATTGGTCATTTACTCCATAGCCCTGTACGTAATGAATGTGAAGACGAGCCTGAAGACTCTTGATCTGCTGGCCTTCACTGGGTATAAGTACGTTAATATAGTGGTCTGCCTGATGGTTAGCACGCTGTTCTTTAAGTCTGGATATTACATTGCGCTGGCGTATACCAGTTTTTCCTTCGGCTTCTTCTTGGTGAGTTTGGCATTGCAATTTATTTGTGGAGCAATCAGTAATTCCACCCCTTTTTTTAGCTTCGTACTTTGCGGACGAAACTGCTGCAGGACAACTCCCCGGCTGCGCCCAGTGGAGCCATCAACTACGATCCGTATGGAAATCCACAGCAATTTGACTACAGTGGCGGGAAAAAGCGGAAACTCTACTTCCTGTTCATGGTCGTCGCGGGACAGGCGCTATTCGCTTTCCTGCTCTCCAAGCACTTGTATCTGCCAGAGGCGGAGGTGCTGGCGGTGCCCAAGACCTTTTAACCCACAGGCTTGATAGGTTAATTTGCATACTCCTTGAGTTTATCGGGGCCAGGATGCCCACTCACTTGCCGAATGGTTCCGGAGCCAAGGCATTGTCATTTCCAGCATGAAGTTTGTGGTTGTCTCATCTGAGATTCGAGCGAGAGAAGCATATTTTTGTTAGAAACAAACACATTTTATAAATAAATACCAGCTATGAAAACTAATTTTTTATATAATTTTATTGAAATTTTAGTCTCTTTTACTGTAACGTGTTCTTGGTTGGTTTTGCTTGCTCGGCTCATTGTTAACTTATTGGCTAACATCGCAAATTGCCGATTGTTTCTCCTGGTTCGTTATAAAATATATGTGTGAAATGTTTGTTGTGGTTCGGGTTTCAGATTTCAAATTTCCGATCACCGATTTCCGGTTCCTGTTTGCATTTAGTCTAATTTGTTCGGTTGTCGTCTGCGTCTGCATGCTAAAACGTTGCACTCGGCTTGCATCAAAAAATAAAAGGCATACGAATTCATAGTAATAGTAATGATAACAGTTCCTACTTTAGGTTAGTTCGTGAGTTTACATAATTAGATAGTTCCTCGTTGGTTAGTTTGGGGCCTCGACTGCAACTCAGTACATAGCACAATGTGAAAAAACGTCCACTTTTCATTTCTCATTCCTCTATTTGATTCTGTTTATTTTAGTTCGCTAATGCAGTTCGCTTCTTCGTTCTTTTGCTTTATTTATCGTGTGTAGTGTAGGCTAGCACTTAGTAAATAGTTATAAACATGCTTTGCTTTGTTTTCAACAAATTCCACGTACTAAAAAAATAATACATTTACAACTAATAATTTAGATTAAACATATACGTTTGTTCTGTTGCCTGATGCTGCGTATAGATCGTAGTTATGTTGTACATAGCTATATATCGTATATATATAAATATATATATATTACGGGTGTACGGTGTGTCTGTGTGTGGTTCATAAACTCATTTAGGCTACATTTGGAATACAAAATACGCAACATAAAAACCTTTAAAACTCTTGCTCCTATCAATAAATTACCGAAATCAATCGCCTAGCTTTAACCTAGATCACCGACTGCTTCTGCTGCTGCTCCTGCTCCTGCTGCTTGACAAGATTACGCTGATAGTTGACCAAGTCCACTTTATTGAACTAAATTACCGTCCCGCCGGGCGCCGCCGTCTGTCCAGGTGACAAGTGCTGAGTGGCGTGCTGTAAAACAAGGATATATCATTAACGCATTACCCGCTGCCAGTGGAAGGAGTTGTGAGAAGTGTCATACTTACCGTGGCATGACCTGGCCGCGCCCAGGTGTAGATGAATCCATCCTGGCACGCCGTCAGGAAGCAGTCCTCGCGAAAGATCAGCGCCGTCAGCCGCTCGTGGGCGATCTTCTTGCAGACAAGCGGCTCCAGCAGGGGGCACTCATCGAAACGGGGGCAGGCGGGCGTCCCGATGAGCTGCATGGGATCGAAGCTGCTTACACCGGAGCCAGAGCCCGCTCCAGATCCCGACGCATGGGCGGCTGTGGCCAATGAGGAGTGGTGCGAGGACCTGCTCAGCTTCAGGGATCCGAAGCTATGCGCCGTCGAGCTGCTGCCGATGGCGCCAGCCGCACCCGAATCCAGAGTGCTCGAGTGGCCAAAGTTGGAGGAGCTGCTGTTGTTACTCTGACTGTGGTTGTTGTGTCCGCCAGTGTGGTTGTGTTGGTTGTAGCTCTTCAGCATGCTCATTGCCTTGCGGTGCTGACGGTGGGCCGTCGTGTGGCTTCCGTCATAGCCAGCGGCCTTCTTTTCCGAGCTGCTCAGGAAGCTGAAGTTCGAGAGACGCTGCGTGAGGCTGTTGAAGGCGCTGAAGCCGCTGCCCGAGTTGGAGGACTTGTTCGAGCTGTTGGAAGTCTTGCTGTTGTATCCCGATGTAGTCTGCGATGGCCTCTGTCCACTCCCGCTTCCGCCGCCTCCATCAATGCTGTCCGACTTGGTGGCGCTGATGCAGTTGGGGAATTTGATTGAGTTGCCAGTGCCATGGTTGCGGTTGTTCTGCTTCGTTGAGGCCGCCGCTCCCGCTCCAGCCACCGAGCCTGCGCCTGCATTCGATGAAGTCGAGGCGGGAGTGGCTGCCTCGGTGTCGCAGTCGTCGGGCGAGGATTGTGAGGATATCGTGCAGTTGGCGGTGGAGAACTTGCTGGAACTGCTATTGCTGTGCTCGCCGGCACCGTTTGTTGCGCCTCCGCCCGCTGCTTCCCGTGTTGGACTACAGCTGCCGGATTCCGCTTGTGGTCCAGGGGCTTGACCAGACATGGCCACTGGTCGGATTACCTTGATGCCGTCCTCTGCTTCCGCTTCTTCATCAACGCCACCGTTGAGATAGCCCCTTTCACTGTTTGCTCGCTGCCTCAGCACCAATGGATGTCGTAGCACGTCCTCCGTGATGTCCCACAGGCAGATCTGCGTATCCTGACTGACGGAGCCAAGTCTATAACTCATAAGCTTTTCCGCCGAAGAAGCGTCCGAGCGAAAGGAGGCCGAGTGTGGCCCGTTCCGGGCAGCGTGTACGGGTGTAGAGTTCCGGTCAAAACCATCAAAGCCACCGTTGGCCGTGGAATCTCCGGAGAAGCGCGCCTCTCGCGAATGGGAGTACTCGTTCATTTGATTCTCATCGTCGCTGAAGTCGCCGCCATCCCAGTTTGTGTACGACGTGGTATACGGATCAAAAGCTACCACAGATACCCAGGACCGATGGCCTTGTCCGCGAGCCACCACTCGTCGCTCGTGCAGCGACCACACGGTCACCAGGTCGTCCTCGCCACCCACAACAATGTACTTGCCGTCGGGGGACCAGCACACGCACAGAAAGCCGCCGAAGTAGGAGCGTGCGATTCCAAGCAGCTCCATGGTGTCGTAGTGAAAGACGCGCAGGAAACCGTCCTGGGAAACCACCGCCAAGTGAGAGCCGCAAGGCGAGAAGCAGAACTCATTGACGCAGCAGTTGTCGGTGCTGAAGACCCACTTGAAAAGCGGGTTCCTTGTGGTCTTGGACTTGCTAGTGAGTATCGTATAGCCGTCGCCAAGCTTGAAGGGCTGATAGCTGGGCGCTGTGGCGGCGCAGGGCAGTTCCTCGTTGTACAGGTACAGGTGACCTGAGGCGTGGGCGGCGAGGAACAGGTGCGGTGAGTTGGGTAGCCACTTTAGGCAGGTCACTTTGGTCTTGTCGATCAGCCGCTAAGAGATGCACCATAATCAGTTTGCATTTGTAGGGGTATATATCAGTTGGAACACTCACCTCCTCGTTGAAGAGCTTCCTCACTTCCCGAGGACCAACGTGCGGGGAGACCAGCTGGATCTGACCTGTGGTGAAGCCCACCAGCAGGGGCGCTCCCGTGGGCGTGGCCGTGCTCGCGTTGAAGTCGTGGCAGCTGGGATTGGTGCCCTTGTAGAACTTCTTATCGATCGGCTTGCTCATCTCCGTGCCCTGGAAGTAAGTCAACAAGAGTCACTATCATCTGTTTATGTTTATCTTGGTCGTTCTGGATTGCATTACGTTTTCCTATTATAAACCTAAAGTGGATCGTTCGCAGTTAGAAACTCTTTAAAGATTTGGGATAAAACAAAACGTAGAATAATGTAAGCTGAGTTTGAAAACATTATATAATATCTGGAGACCAAGTTGTTGGTGGGGCTGGAAATGTTCATAATTTGTAATTTAAGATGGGGGTGTCATAAACTCAATGCTCTGTGCAACTAGATGCCATTGGATATGAGTTTGTATAAACAAAGCACAGAAACATAAGTCATCGAAATCATGATAGAAACTTGACATTGTGGTTTTTGGAAGCATAATCATTTTCACGATTAAGTTTATTGCTTATAAAATATGTATTTCAATGAAAGTCGAATAGAAAAACGAAAGGGCCTCGAATATTTCCGTTTGAGCTAAGATTCGAATGGAAAAAGACGTCCAGTGGGATGAAAAAATATTAGAAATTAACACTTTCGGAGAGCGGAGTGGAAATTAGCGGCTCGTTGGCGGAATCAGGTGGGAAGAGCTCTATGCAAGCACTGCCAAGTTTTCGCCAGCATATATGTAACTATGGCAACAAAGAAGCCAGCTAAAACAAATACAGAAGGAGAATCGCAAGCTGTTGCTGAACAGAATGCCAAAGAATTAGAAACAGCTGCTGGGCCGGGGAAACAAGGCAAACACAAGCGAGGCGATGAGCAATTTGGATTGGCGAAAGCCGAACTAGGATTACTCTATCGGAATGTTTATTGACTACAACAGGGGATCGACTTTGGCAATTGGACAGGTGCTTGTGTTGATAAGTGGACAAAAGGCTTCCCCTTGCTGCATGCGAGGGTTCCAAACAGGGTAGGGTAATCCGCGCGCAGGGATGAGCTGGCAAACGCTCACAACAACTGGCTGCCTTCGAGCGCAATAAACATTCATAAAAACGCCAAACAAGCGAATTGATCATCAAGCGCTCGAAGTGGAACAAATTAAGCTCACTGGGGGGACACTGCATGCAAATGGCTAGGTATTTTAGCCCCAGCCAATTGGCTGGTGCAATCCGCCTGGAATGCAATCGCCGGCAGCCTCTATCTCTGGTGTGATAAGCTCGCTGCACCTCCCCATTCTCCGTCATGTCACGTGCTTGCGGATGGAGACTATCTGTGCCAAACAATGTTTACCTTCTTGGCTCCCCGAAAGGAGTAAACGTAGAGATCTCGTCCGAAGTTGAAGCATATGCGATCGCCTCCTAGGACCTGGTTGGTGGCCACACCATTCTGGTCAACGACACCGCCGTTCATCATGGAGTGCATGGAGATGCCGCCGCCCAGACGGGCCTCCACAGTGCTGTTCCCTGCACTGTTGCTGTTGCTGTTGCTATTGTGGTTGCTGTGGCTGTGGCTATAGTTGCTGTCACCGCCGGCGCCTCCATTGGATATTGCTGTGGTGGCTCCTGCTGCTCCCGTGGGCGACGCTCCTGGCGAACTGCCATTCGTTGTGGTTGTGGTTCCTGCTGCTGCTCCTCCTGCACCCACAGGTGAGCCCACGCCCACGCCCCCATCCGTGCCCAGCTTGCCCTGCGCCGGACTGGGCAGAGTCACCATGGAGACGCGCACCTGCGGCGAGCTCTGGTTGCTGCTGTAGCCCACCCGGTTGGGCCGCGAGTACTCCGAAAGGGTCAGCAGGCGGTAGGTGCCCTCGCGGGTGACGAACTGCGTCTTCAGGTCGTCCTTCACACTGGCGTCCAGTTGGTTGGCCATTGCTGGTGCGGCACCTGCTCTGCTGCTGCTGCTGCGCCTTCGCCGATCCACCAATTCCACTCGGCACTCAGCCCATGTGAATGCCAGGTGCCAGTGGTGCTAGTGGTGGCTCTGCGGGCGCTGCAGGTGCTCCTCCCCAGCCACAAATATCGCTGGCTGTCGCCACTAATTAAGCGCCGTGGGGTTGGGCTTGCCCTTCGCTTGTTTTCTTGTTATAATTAGATTTAATTCCTTCACTACACCGAGTTTTGTGGGGCTGTGCTTGCACTGTTGTTGTTTCTGCCGTTGGAGCTGCGTTCGCCAAGTTTTCCGAGTTTTCCGGCCACTGCGCTGGTTGCCTGCATCACGGCGTGGTGGCGGCGGGGTGAGGGCGACGGGGATCGCGGTTATCGCATCGGCCGCACGCTCGCTTTTATTCCGCACAAATTACTTAATTTATTTCTAATTTCTGATTGGGCTTAGCGATGTGAAAAAACGTCGATATTTGCAGTCGATACCTTTCGATGTTTGCGGTGATATCGATGTTAGTACCAACAGCTTGGTACCTGTGGATTTGCAACGCTTCTGCGACTGGTCACTCTAAGCGATTCAATAAAATGATTTCGTTATGACTATTTTAAAACAAATAAACAAAAGCATGTAGTACCGTATGGATAATAATTTTTCCATTATTATCATTTGAAGCAATATATTATTTCTGAAAACTGCCAGACTGTCAAAAATAGATTTCCACCAATGGTGCCAGGTGGTTGTTCATGGGCAGCACTGAAAAGTTTGGCGCGCAATTTAAATTTCTTGAATACCTAAATTAAATATGTTTTTGGAGAAAATAAGGAATTAATGTGTCTTCTTAACTTTATTTTTAGAGTTTTCAGTTATTTGGCAGTAAAACTGAATGTTGTTCTATTGTAAATGCCTTTTGCTATCCATTTCTCTGCTTGACTTTTTCCATTATTTAGTTTTTTGCACCATCAATGGGAAACCAACGAAATAAACAACATTCGACAGAAACCAGTGACAGTGACTTGCGTTATTCCAGCAACTGCCAGTGTGTGTGAGTGTGTGGTGTTAGCCGGAAATGCATTTGGCATGTCCTGCGAAATTGGCCAGTGAAGAAGAAGAATGAAGCTGCTGTTTTGTTGCCCTTCCGCCTTTCACTTGCTCCCATTTTCTTGTTACTTTGCACTGCCAATTGCATTGAAGCGCCCAGCCAAATCTCGTTTCGGACACATGTCTTTTGTCTTGGCATTGTCACCCCAGGAATTCCCCCCTTCAGCTTAGTCTGACCAAGTGGGATGGGCAAACAAGCGACGACCTCGACCAGCGCATCGAACTCGAATCAATCAAGAGCGATTGATAAGAATGCCCACTTGAAGGGCTGGAGTGTTCGTATAAAAACCATCTCCACCAGCCGGAGTATCACCCACTTTCACTTACACCATGCATCCGTCAGGTGAGTTTATGTCAATTCGCAGGACTAAAGCTGATTATATCCGATTAGCTTCGTTCTGGTCACTTGCCAGCTGCCTTGTGCTGCTCCTGCTTCCGTCCGGAATCCGATCGATGTGCAACGACAACACTAAGCCGGGATGCCGCCATCCGGCCGAGCTGCGAATCCCCCAGCGTCATTGTATGGATCCCACCAAGTACTGGCTCTGCAACGACGCCGGCTTGGAAGCCCAACTCTGTAAGTGCCAGCCCAACACCGGATTCGACCAGGACCTTAACGCCTGTGTGCCGTGGACCGCATGGGAGTGGAAGCCATGTCAGGAACCACCCAGTCGTCCTACTGGATGGATACCATGCTAGGAAAGTACGAAAGTCCTGGTTCCTTGGCCATAAAAACGGATGTTCAAGGATCCCTCACACTTCTGATTAAATGAATAACTATCTTAAAATTTACAAATCAAATATTATGCTATTTTGTCACTAGTTCACTATTAAATTGGTAATTTTCTGATGAGAGAAAATGGCGTTACTCTTTTTTATTTTTATGGACTTTGGCTCATTAAAAATGGTTGTGTTGGGTAAACATGTTAAATAACCATAATAATGTAAATTCACACTTATAAGAGACAATAAGCATTTTCATTTTCAATGTGCAAAACCTAGTAGGTTCGATGGGAATATGAAATACATGCTAATTTATTAGTTTTCTATGCTAAACTATATGTAAAATATACATACGTTTCCAAAATTCAGAGGTTAATTTGGGCTGTAAAGATTAAATAATTTGTCACGAACTTGAACATTAGGCAAATAATTTACGAAAAATAATATAAGGGGAGGCCAATTTACGTAGACAGCAACTTAATTATCTGTGTTTTTATTTTTACAGGACTGAAACTTATGTCATTACAAATATCATGAAGCTGTTTGAATTTAAAAGGCCAAAAATAAACAAATATTTCTAGTAATGCTCTTTGAAGAGCAGCCACAGCTAATAAGGAAAGCGGCGTGATGGGTGCCAAATATTTTTTGGGGCAGTATATCTCCATGCCCCCAAGATCCCCCCATCGTCTTATCTGGCCAATGTCAAGAGCACGATCCGCGAGAGCGATAAGTCGCATATCTCAGTGCGAGTGGCATATCTCGATGAATCACATTTACGAGCTGCACGCGGGGCACACTCATTTCTCTCAGTGCCCGGATGGCGGAGATTTTGCGTGTATTTTTATGGCAGAGGCGCGCTGATCCGTCGATGGCCAGTTGCAATTACAGCTGCAATTGTTAACGCGCGGCTTCTGACGGCAGTTAAGCGGTCTTGACTGACGGGCCACGCCCCCATTTCGGTTGCGCCTTCGCCTGCCGCCAAAGCATTTGTCATAAATCAATATGTGAGCGGAGAGCTGCCCCCTTTGTGGCACTCGTCCTGTGCTCCCCGGTCAACTGGGGGCGACCCAATCCGTTTGCAGCCCGCTGTCTGGCAATAAGTTGCACTATTTTTGATGCACTCGCCCGTGCATTCGGTGCGGGAATTTTATTTCATTTCACAGTTGTCAGTCAAACGCTTTGTCAGGCCGCCGAGCACATCAATAAGCGGCAAAAAAATACGATTCAATTGAATTTTTATTTCTCGCTTTCGGGCGACGTGCGTGCGAGAACCAGCAAAATATTTGCATGTAAAAGAATTTTCCGCCAGCCAAACAGAGAAGTGAGAATCAAAGGGAGAGGTATATCGTAAAAATTGTGAAATGAAATTTTAGCATACGTGACGTATACGCAATATATTTAATTGCATTGAAGCCTCCTCTTTGTTTTCCCTACCCGTTTAATCCCGCTGCAAGTATGTTTTAAAGTGAACCGTCGGTGGACAAAAAGTGGGGCAAATAATTGGGTTTCGGCTTTTGAGTGGTCGGATGAATTTTAAATCACTGCCCTACCTGCGTGCGCTGGGCAAAATAATGGCCTTGTCTTTGAGAATCTCAAAATACTCGGGGAAATGCTACAAATGCCACACGAATTAGCATAAATCACTGGGGCAAGGACAACGGCGCCCAGGAAGTGGGCATTTTGCAGCCAGCCAAGTGCCGTTCCTCCCGGTGGCTTCACTTAATGGCAGACATTAATAACCCGATTTAATTTATGGCCCAAAACTAACAAAAGCCCAATCCGCAAAACTGAGCAACAAAGGCCAAGAAGGGCGGCTCGCAGGCCTTTTCCCGACCTAAACTCCAACTCCAACGAACTCCGACTCCAACTGCAGTGTGCAGTGCACTGGGGCAATTACTCAAGTGCGCCAGGACGAAGGACGTAATGTGGCTTAAGGCGCAGCCAGGCGAAATTTGTTGGCCCCAGCCCCAAAAATGCCTTTGAGGCAGTGTTTTGAATTAATTAGCCAGCGTATCCAGCCGGGGCAACATCGTTGCTCCTCCGCTTGTTTGCGGCCTGCCTCGGCTATCTCTGGAAATAATTTACAGCTGCCGTTGATGTCATGAATATGCAAGCAGGCTGGCCGGGATGGGTCACCATCCGCCATCCGCCAACCAAGGTGGATGTGGCCCCACCTGGCCGCACCTGGACAGCTCCAACCCAGTTCGGCTGGAGCGGAAGAAACAACAATTGGGCAAACAAACAGCGCCATAAAAGGCGAGAGCAGAGTGGGCTGCTGGTTGGTAAGACCAGATGAGCTTATCGCGACCACAGCATCACACCTCAGTTCCGCTTGATAAGATTTCGGTTATCCGTGCGGTGGCGTGGCGTGTATAAAACGCCTTCCGCCGATTAGCATAGGTCAGTCCAACGCAGCCACCCCCAGTTAAAGATGAAGTTCCTGCCTCTGTTCGCTGTTTTCCTGATCCTTGCCTGCTGCTCCTGCTGCAGCGGAGCTGCTGTGGCCAAGCCAACGGGTCAGCCCGGTTGCCAAACGGCCGAGGAGTTGGAGGTGGCACTCTTTGCCCACTTCTACCTGAAGAGCTCCTTCTGGGTGTGCTCCACTCAGGGCGTGCCCGCCACCCTCGCCCAGTGTCCCATTGCCAACGCCTGGTTGGATTCCGCCAAGGCCTGTGTTCCTTGGCCCCAGTGGGTGTGGTCTCCCACTGTCCAGCCGCCCAGTCAACCCGAAGTTGCTGCCTAGAATTGGAGAATCAAATAGAATCAAATATGCAGTAATGAGAACTCTTCTTTTTATACCACCTTATCAAGCGGTAGAGTCAAACAGTAAAGAAATCTAGCAATGTCTAGTAAAAGTAAATATTTGGTAGATATACACATTTGACAAATAACTTAGTTACTAACTAGCGCGCGTAAGATAAGCACAAAGGCTTTGCTCATATAAATATTTTTGCTGACGGATGTAAAATTATGGAAATTTTACTTAATTCATAAATAAAACCCGCACACTTTCTAGAAAATGAGAAAAAGAGTGGGATATATGAACTTTTTATCTTAATGGTTAGCTGTGTTTTTGCGGGCATTAAACTAAAGCCCTTAAAACAAAGTAAACACATTTGTCTCCGCACTTTTCTCTTTGTTTATTGTCAATGAATAGTTTATTTTAAAAAATATTTGCGTATGACACGAGTGCAGAAAAACCTTCTGACTTGACTCACTTTTTTAATACGTGTTTACATAGTTGTAAAATACGGTTAAAAATACATTTATTTATGTACAACTATGCAGCTTAAACTTTATTTAGTTGCACAGCTGATGAGCCTAACTTATTTGGGTCAAATGGGTACAAACCCTTATAGATCCGTGTACGATTCCCAAGCCTAATGTCCTTCATGCAATTGGTGTCCTCTCACTTTCAGCCATGTCTGGCCGGGACTACAACGGAGAACCAGGCTGTCGCAGTGCCGAGGAACTGGGGCAGAGCTACCGCCACTTCTGGGACCCCACCGCCTACTGGCAGTGCGGCGGGAAAGCGGAGCGGGAGCGGGATCGGGAGCGGCCCGCCCAGCTGCACCGGTGCCCGGCCAACGAGCTGTTCTACGACCGGGAGCGGCGGTGCGTGAAGTGGAAGGACTGGCAGTGGACCGAACCGCAGGATCCGCCCACAAAGCCGCGCAAATAAAGCAGCCAGCGTACGCGTTCGCATGTATTGAAACAAATTGTCGAAAATATAATTAAAAAGCGCTTTTCGATTTTTCCCGCTTGAGTGCTGCTTAATTTATGCGTGGGCTGCTGCTCGAAGGACATGGTGGTGGTGCCAGGACATAAGCCGCTTTCGGGTGGCCGCCTCGCATGCTGATGCTGGCGGGGATTTGCTCTTGTTTTTCTGTGCCCGCCATACGCCATCCTGCCATACGTGCAACAATTACGAAATGTGCGTGTGGGTGTGTTGTGGAGTGTCCTTGGTGCTCCAACCGGAGGGGGGCTTGTGCCCCCCTGTTTGTTTGCGCAATTTGGTAAATTGACATGATGGCAATTTCCCATGGTCGGCTCCTCGTTGAGCTGCACGGACTTAACTTCGCTCGCTAGTTTTAATAATTTTTAATTAGCTGCAGCGCAAAGCTCTCAAATGGACAAACACAATGTGTAGCCAGCTTTGTGGCAGTTTCGGGTATTATTTCCGGCCCGACTGCCCCAAATATTCAACAGCCGCCGCCTAATGTAATTGCGAAATTTGTTGTGTGCCCCAATTAAATTTGGAATCAAGCGGTGCCAAAGCGGCCAACAGCATTTAATTAATTGTATTTGAGTTTAGAGCGTTAGCGAAAGTGTGTGTGGCGCGGCCATTGGCTTTCGATCAATATTAAGCGATTCGTGTGATCCAGATTTCACATACGCTCTTTCTGTTGCAGCTGCGGCAAAGCGGTAAGCTTTGTTTTTCCGCCTTTGTTTGGCTTTCAGCTTTCAGTGTGCGCGCTTTCCTTGCTTTTATACGTTCATTTGTTTTTTGTTTGAAGCGCCACAATTTGATATACACAAATCGATTTACTTGCGCATGCAAATAACTTTATTTGCTTAGTGGGCAAGAGGGGCGGGGCAGGCAGCAGCACAAAGGACTCGCACAGGACACAGCAGAGCCGAAAGAAAGAAAGAAGGAGGCAACAGAAACTGTTAACAAAAAGTCGACAGCAGGGCTTGGCTCAGCAGCCAAACAAATTTGCATAAATCGCAGTTGGTAGCACACAACACAGCCAACACACACGCCCCAACCCGCCACCCACACATGTGCTTATTCACACCCACACCAATACATACCAATACACATGCGAGTATATGTCCTGATCCAAAGCGACACAGCCATCGCCATCGCCATCGCCATCGACATCGACACGAAGTGAAAGGCGCAAAGACTAAGTGCATGCTTAAGTGTTTTCTTTTCTATTTACGTGCCACAGCCAAGGAGTGAGCAGCAGCAGCAGTGTCGTTTGTTTGCTCTGTTGCGGCTTGTGTGCCACCCAACCAGCCAACCGCCCACGCCCACCGCCCACCTAGCCGCCCCCTAGCCAGCCAACCACCCGCAACACGCTTCATATGTAAATCAAGGTAAACAGAAATCTGTTACAGCATGATACCATTACAATGACATGCAACGGACCCCGAAAACCCCCCCCACTCGGCCGGGCCAAGACCACCACAGAGTAAACTAGATACTTATACACGTGTCTCATATTGACTACGATATGTTATACAAATGAGATATTGATGCCTCACCATTACAACTCGGGCCACAACAACAGCACGCCGCCCATTTAGCCATTCAGCCAGCCAGACAGCGTCGTCCTCGAGTGACAGCAAACAACAGGGGGAGGATCCGGAGCAGGAGCAGGAGCAGGAGCAGGAGCAGGAGCAGGAGCAGGAGCAGGACTACGCCCAGAAGCAGCAGAAGCAGCAGAAGCAGCAGCAACAAATGCACGAAAAGCCGCCGTAATGGAGAGGCAGTTCTCAAAGCTGGCAGCTTAACCCATTAGATTACCGCTGAAATGTATAGCAACTAGAAACACCTTGATTATAAATATAAGAGTGAAGGCTTTAAGAGTGAAGACACTTCCATAAACTACAAATACTCAAGCCCTTCGGCTGCAATGGGTTAACTGGTGGCTTGCATCGATATGCCGCAACTGGTTGGCCCCTCGAAAGGTACTGCCTTACGTAACCAGATGCGGCCAACTCCAGTGATGCAGCCACAAAAGGAAAGGGGAAAGAGAAAGGCTTTCTATGTGCGTGTCCAATCGCAAAGCAATCGAATCACACGGCGGGAGATACGGAAAATGGAATGCGGCGTCAAAGCCCGGGGATAAAAGATAGAGGAAATGCACAGAAAGCAAGCAAAAAACTGAGTAATTAGAAATTGAAGACCAAGATGGGAAAACGTAGTGCTGATGATGGCTTTCCGCTCCTTAAAAGCCAACCATATCCTTGGGTAATTTGTCTTTGTCATTTATTAACGGCCATAAGCAAGAATCATAACTTGCTCTATGTAATACAATCGATGGCATACAAAACTTGAATTTGATTTTTGTGCGGTCGCCCAAAAAAATGCAATTACGATCTGCGCGAAACCAATTTTCAGATCAATATCTCCAAAACAACTTTAGTCCCCTGCAAAGGCAAGTTGCAACCTCAAAACAGCGATTACGAATGGGGAACTCGGGCGCAATGCAATAACTGAATACAAATTTGAAATGTGGCGGAAATTGAAATCGAAGGCGTTGAAGTGATTTCGTCTCGCAAAAATTCAATTGGAATGGCAACGGCAACGGCAACAATCGAGCAAAAGCACCGCCGCAAATGTCTTGCACAACAACCACACTTCAGCACCACCCTGCTGAGCCACCACTTCCATTCACGCAGCTCCTGGCAGGTCCTTATGGTGGCAAGGCTTCTGGTTACGCGGTTATTTGGCCTCCGCTCACATCCATTCGCCCTGTGCACAATTTTTCCGCTGCATGCAATTTTAATGCGATTTTGGATTTGATTTGTAACCGAAAAATAAGCCACACAAACTTTTCCCTCTCGAAAGTGGTGCTGCGGCAGTTGCCATTGCTGTTGTTGCTCGCAACTTGGAGTTGTGGTTGCATTGTAGTCGTTGTCGTCGTCGTCGTCGTCGTCGTGTTGTTGCTCGGTTGTTAAGTGCAAATATAAATTCAACGGCAGCGGAAAAATGAGGGGTCGGGATGGGGGGCAGCGGAAGGGTTTGCACCCTGCTGGGAGCCGGGGTCAAATATTTATTTGTTGCCGCGCACAAATTTTATGCTGCATACTTTCATGCGCCGCTGCAACGGCGGCAGCACAATGTGGCACAAGCCAGCAGGGCCCCAGAACCCACTCTCCGTGCAACTGGCAGTGGCACAGTGGCAGCGAGGCGCATAAAACCTTCCGCTGCCATTCAAGTGGAAAAGTTTAAGCCAACTTTTCCAGCCCAAAAGACCCCATGCCATTTCTGTTCGCCAGCAATTCAAGCGCGAAAATGCGCGCACTGAAAAATCATTCAACGGAAGCCGCAGAAGGGGGGTGCAAATTGGAGGAAGTCGGGGGCTGCCATGGACTGTCACCACGGAGGCCTGCGACTCGAAAAATGCCAATTATGCCCATTCGACGGAAAATGACTTGTACAATGGCCACTGAACGAAGGAAGGCGGTGCCGAAAGTCGAAAAGAAACTACGAGCGCATTGCGTATGCGCCCTGTTGTCGGCTTCATTTATGCGGACCAGCGCAGCGAACTTAATTAAAGTAGCGGCACGTCAGCCAGGGGTCACAGTTCACAGTTGGCAGCTGAAGAGCGGCGCATAGTGGCCACAAAACAATTGTAAACTCAATTAAATCCAAGCACCACTGCGGCACTGGCTCGCTCCTACAAGACGGACTCCAAACTACAGGGCCGAGTTTTCAACTACAGAAGGCATTCTATCTTTCAGCAGGCAAAAAAACAAGGAGTAATTAAAGCACTCAATTAAAAATTTAAAAATACCACGTAATAAAAATTAAACAGGCATAGATATGCCTGAACTATGGTTAATTATTTAGTTAAAGCGCAACAAACGCTTTATAAGCGATCAAATTGATTTTCTCTGAGTGTGTACACTCTTGTGTTGCAGCTGTGCTCCCTGGGTGTGCTGATAACATACGACAGTTGTGACTTTAAAAAGCCCTTTTCGCAATTTTTGCACAAAACTTGTGCAGGATTAATGGTCCGAACGGCCCAGGCATCCATGCAATTAAAATGCAACAACAGCGGCGGTGGCAGGAGGAGCTGAAGGAGCTGGAGGAGCTGGCGGAGCTGGCGGAGTTGGAAGGCAGCAGGAATCTAGGATGTGGTGGCAGCAACAGCTGCAGGAGTGGGCGGAAATGGAGCAGAAAGATTGCTCTGACTTTGGAGCGTTTGAAAACTCGCATGTGTGACGGGCCGGGGTCCGGAGATAGCCACGCCATTTTAAAGTGGCTGGCGAGGCAGCAAAACGAGCAGCGGATGAGGTGGGGATGGAGGGCAGTTTGCACACTAGTTAGTGCTCCCCTTGGGAGGATGGGGCTGCTGCGGCACAGCATTGTCCGCAGCCACACACACACACACACACACACACAGGCTCCTCTTTCTGCATTCGCCATCATTGTACGGTTTTTGCCCGCAACGGCCAAAGACAAATAATGCAATTTCCTGACTAACTCATTTTGGGTGGCTGAGCAGCAGGATTGGGACTCCCCATTCCCGGACTACATACTCATGTAGACTGCAGTTCCGTGTCACTGACACTTGGCCCTCGCTGCCTGCCCACTCAGACATTTATTACCTAGTCGGGGATGTGCAATCGCTGCGAGTGATCAAAGGGCTGGGAGTTCTGATGGCGGGAAAAACCCGAGCAAGGAACAGAAGCTGGTGGGATGGATCACTTGGAAACCCACTAGATCTGCTTTCTGCTTTCTGCTTCCAGCTTTCAGCTGCCCTGTTCCACGTGACTCCCTTTGGGGCATCTGACGCAATCATTGGCAACTTTTGGTTTCATGTTGCACCACTTCGCACACGCCAGCAGCACAAGATTAATGCGGTTCGGCATCGAACTTTAAACTCATTTTTAGCCCCGACGAGGAGAACTGCCACCAAGGACCGCTCGCCAGACGAACATGTGTTCGGGAAACCAGGAGCATGTCCTGCAGTTGGTCCTTGCTCCTTGCTCCTTGCTAGTTGTCGCTGGCCCCTGTAATTTGTCCCCCACTCGGCGTTGTTTGTTTTGCGCAGAAGTTTGCGGCGACAATTGTTTTGCACAAACTCACATACCCAATCTCGCACATACGACTGGAATTTTCTTGAAAATGTTTTCCCAACGCCCCGTAATTTTGCTCTTTGCGAGGGGAGAGTCAAGATTTATGTCAAACCAAACTGTGACGCAGCAGTTGAATATGTGGGTTACAGTATGTGTCACCGCTTATCATATCAGCCCCACTCGACCACCGCTCATATATCAATTATTTTCCAATCAATTTAAAGTTAATAACATTTCAATTCGGACACTTTTAATCGCGACAAGTGGATAGCGCTGGAAGAACTATAATTAAAACGCCGCACACATCATCATCAGTCGTCGACGCAGTTGCGCAACGAGCGCCACTCGGACCACGGGAAGCATCCCAGGTAGCCATCCTGGCTGACGAACGCCTTGCCATCGGGACACGGCAGCTCCTTGGCTCCGTCGCTGGTGCACAGATAGAAGCTGGCCACATCGTCGGCGGCCTGGGGCTGCAGCTTGCTGGTTCCCGTGCAGTCGGGCACCGTGGTGTCCAGGTTCACGCAGGAGGGTTTCATCAGGTCGGCGGGCAGGCAGCCGGAGATGGTAACGTTGTTCACAAAATAGTATCCCGGGTCGCACTCGTCGGTTATCACCTGGCCGTCCAGGCAGAAGTAGAACTTCCTGATGTCCTCGCCGCCCCACAGCTCGTCCTCCGACTGGCAGACATCGGGGGCATCGCTGGTGGTGCCCACGGAGGCGGCGTAGCACAGAGCCAGGAGGCCGAAGAAAATGATGAGTGCTGCAGGGAGGATCAGCGAATATCCGAGTGAATAGTGATTGAGATTATTAAGTTCATAGTTCTAGGAAGTATGATAGTATTTTAGCTATAAATATATTATTCTGTGAATTTCACTTTGTCCCTTTGTCACAACCGAACGCACAGTAGTGGAGTGGATTATTCCTAAGGATGTTTACCTTTCAGCATGGTGAATCCTTTAGCAGCTTCTTTGCGATTCAAAAATCTAACGCAGACTAAACGAATGGATGGCCATCGAGTGGGCTTTTATAACATTCTATCCGATCGGGCAACTTATCGGGACTTTCGAGAGCGCTTCCATATCATTGGCATTGCCATTGACTTGTTGACACTTCCGATGATGAACGTTCTGCGAGGCCTGTTTTGGCTTCTGGTCTTGGCCACATCGCTTATCGGGTGTTTTTCTTATGCAGATAATGGCGAATTCTTGCCTCAATTTGGCGTTCTGCCTTTGGCAGATACCACGTCTCAAGTGGTTGGCGAAGAGCAGTTCCTGGAACCGAAGTAACTTCGATTTCAGTGCTGGGTTCTCACTGTCACCTGCTGCTCACGTCTGGGAAACTTTTAATTGAATTCCCTGCCAGTGGAAGCCCACATCGATAGCAAGCCTATTGGAATTTATGTCGATTATAATGTCAACTTTGGCAGAACTCCACGAAGTTTGCCTATTTAAACTTGGGGCTCGCGTAAATAGAGTGCAAAAAGTGGAGAGGCGAGTGAGTAAGGAAGTTGAATTGACAACGTGACTCAACAACAAAAATGGCTAAGAAGTTTTCCTTGTTTTTCTTCTCTTCTTTTTTTTTTTGTGTTTCAGCAGGTTATGGGCTTCGTGTTCTGGCCGCAAAGTGACTTCTTTCCCGGCGGCAGCTGTGCTCCTCCATTTGGGCGCTCTAAGCCAAATCAATTAGAACTTTTGACAGCAGCTGGGCCTGCGACTGAATACTACCGAAGCCATTCGAAAATTCTCCATTATCTCGCCAGTGGGGCGTAATTAAATTTTCAACTGATTTCTGCAGCAATAACTTCCAATTTGGCTTCATTTGAAAGGCAATTAATGTCTCTGCTATCGCTTAGATAAGCGATGTGCATGTGTGTGTATGTTCGTTTTTGGTAGTCCAACACTGTAATGACACTCTGATTCATTCGGCCAAGTTAGCAAAGGGAATTTCTGACAATCGAACGATGAGAGTAGGAAATTTTTGGCCAGCTCCTGATGGAAATCATCTGCTCTCGTGCCATTCATTTCTAGAACCTATCGACCGAGAGCACACAACTTTAAGCCAGGCCCTCTTATCTAATCAATAAAATGCTGCCCAAGAAGAGAGCGACGACGTCACTTTCGACCAAAATAAAAATGCTCGCAAAACACGATGCCCGGTGCCCCATGGCCCCCATAGCTGCGATAAGGTTTGCAGGGAACATGGAAAGTCATGCCAATGAACATGGGTATAAAAGCGAAAGACAATGGCGACGACATCCATCAGTCGAGTCGAGTTTTTCAGCAGGAAGCACACACATAAATTTATTAACGAACCCAGCTTATGGCCAAATGATGAGAAGTGTGTGAAAAAATATCTGAATTTACCACCGAACTGCTGCAGTTCGCAGTCCAAAAAGAAAGGAAAAATCCGACATTCGGACAGTGAGCGAACGAACTTTGTGTGTCATAATAATAAATGCTCCGTTGGCTGTTCGCGATGAAATTATTTATGAAAAATAAATGGAGTAACTCCCCCTGGATGCTGCGCCTGGTCCTGATCCTGACCATGCTGCAGCTGCTGCAGGAGTGTATGGCTGCCACCGTCGACCCCGCCACAACCACGAATGCAACATGCAGACATGCCACGGACATGTGGGGAGATCCGGACCCCAACGTATTCTACGTGTGCTCCGATGGCGGACAACCGCTGCAGCTGGAGTGTCCGCCGGGCCGGGGATTTTTCAGCGGTCTCGGTTATCTGGGCTGTTTGCCCTATGGCCACTGGCCAGCCTGCCGGCCCTCGGAGGAGCAGTTGGCCGTCCAGTTGTCAGCTGGCTGTGACAGCACTGCCGGCATTGTGCCAGCGCCCTGGGCCTCGCCGGATCCCAATCGATTCTACCTGTGTCCCAGCACAAGTGCCACACCTCTGCTGCTCAACTGCGCCGCCGGCAGAGGATTCGTGGCCAGTTCCGAGGTGGTGGGCTGTGCGGACTGGTCACAATGGCGTCGCCAGACGGAGTGCGAGGCGTACTACTGATCCTGCGGAAAACCATGTACTCGCTATATCAATAATCACATCAATGACCTGGTTTTTGCCTGCCCCGACTCGAATATTTATTAATTTATTGGTTAGTCATACTGCGCCAATTCACTCACTAGTTCTATCTGTAAATAAAGTAAAAAGTTTGTTACTGATGTGGGTGTTTATTTCTGACTGGTGGACTTGTTCAATACACTGATAAGCGAAGCAATTGATTGATAATGAAATCGATTCCGAAAAAAATGTGTGCAAAATCATATTTTTGCAATGTTATGCTTTTGGTCTATAAATAATTTATAAATTTAGCAATAATTTCACCAATATACAATTGTTTTAGTATACAGTCTATTTATACCCGGTACTCGTAGAGTAAAAGGTTCGTTGAAAAGTATGTAACAGGCAGAAGGAAGCTTTTCCGATCATATAAAGTATATATATTCTTGATCAGGATCAAAAGCCGGGTCGATATGGTCATGTCCGTCTGTACGACTGGCCATCTGTTCGTCCGGGATTATAGTTCCCTGCCATAATCTTAATGACCAGCTCGGATAGATTGTCAGTATTAGGCTATGGCGACCTATATCGACCCATTACATAAATTACCATATCCGGACTGAAGTGGGCACACTTGTAATAAACTCTCTTCTAGAATATATAAAGATGACTTTGTTACCGAAGCAGGATGGCACTGAAGATCTGCTCGAATACGGCTATTAAATAGCGTTCAGGAATAGCCTAAGAGGACAATACTTGCAGGTACACCATTCCGAATAATCGATTATAATTTCTCGGTTTGAAGAGGTTCGAGCAAATCAAAATAAACAAATCGCCCAACGTATTGTCTTATACATATGTATATATATATGTATCTATATATATATAATATATATATGTATCTATATATATATAATATATATATATTTATATCTATATTCCTCGAATTCATTCTCAAACATCAAAAGACTACAGATGGTATGATTATTGCTTTATTGCTGACATTCATCGAGTTTTTTTGAACCTCGTGTTTAATAGAACATTTCGCTGGGTTCCAATCGTTGCTTTAGTTTTCCTTATATGCCGTACTTTTCTTCCCATGGATGGTCATGCCAGTCTAAAAAATTCGATATTTTAGACTAAAGAGAAAACAAAAGAGAATGCTATAGTCGAGGATCTCGACTATCCGAAACCCGTTACTCAGCGAGTACAAGTTTTAACGAGAAATTGCAAATTTTCTGTAATATCGGTAGGAATTGGGGAAAAGAAATTATAAGACGAAAAAAATTATACAATTTTTTCAAAAGTGCAGGCGTGGCTGTTTTGGGCGGTTTGTTGGCGTGGTAAACTTTTTTTTTTGGCGAATCTATAGATATTTACAAAACTAATAAAACAATATGAAAACATTTTTCAAATTTTGTGCAGCTTGTGGGCATGGCAACATCACTTAAACAACTTGCGCTAAGTCTGTGTCGCTGGTATCTGTATGCCTAAGTAACGGGTATAATTACTCATTACACTTATTTGTACTGGTTAAAATATTAAGTATATACTACCAAATATATATAAATATAAATATACTCTTACTCTGGCCATTGGACAACAGTTGATTTAGCAAGAGGACGACTACGAAGATGAGTACTTTCGCCGCGTACATTCTGAGCGATAGATAGGTACTAATGAATGGTGCCTAGAAAACCAGGGTTTATATTCCATATTTTTATATATATTTTATATATGTATTTATATATGAACATGTTGATAAGAAACGCGAGGTCAAAAAGGAGAGTTCCAAAGTGAAATTATTATTTCGCAAAAATAAGATTCCCTCATGGCACATAGACGTGATTTCCTTTCTTACGAGTATAAATGTATTTAGTATTTGATTATAATTACTCGAATCGAGACTATATGCATGTGTAATCGACCGTTATGCATTTGCTGGAATATGCTAAAATATAGCAGAAGATAGCATTCTCCAAACCAGGGTTTATATTCCATATTTTTATATATATGTGTTATATATTTATATATCAACATGTTGATAAGAAACGCGTCTTATAGCGATGAAGAGGTCAAAGAGGAGAGATCCAAAGTGAAATTATTATTTGGAAAAAATAAGATTCCCCCCCATGGCGCATAGACGTGATTTCTTCTCTTACGCGTATAAATGTATTTAGTATTGGATTATAATTATTCGAATCGAGACTATATGGATGCTAATATATTTTTGCTTTCTTCTCTTGTACTAAGTGTACCTTAAAATGCACAATCTGGACGCTTCACACTTCTATCAGGAATGCAATACAGGCAGCCCAGTCTCTCCACTGCAGTTAACTGGTACCAGCTTTCTTCTACGCATATTTAGAAATTCAATTTTTTTTAAATTTTTTTGATGTAATAATGTTGTAGAAATTCAAACAAATTAATTAAATAAATTTTTCTGATGTATGATGTAGAAATTCAAAAAAATTAAAAAATGTTCCAAGGCTGAAGTTCTATATTCCATAACTCAACTTATCTTAATCGGACTTTGAAGTGGCATACCTCTAAATGTTTCTGGCGCAATTCTCTAAAAATCTGCATTCAAATTTAGAAATTTATTTTTTCAAAATTTTTTTATAAGTTTTCTGATGTTATGATGTTGTGGAAATTCAAAAAATTAAAAACTGTCCCAAAGCTGAAGTTCTGAACTCCATAACTCAATTGATCTTAATCGGATTTTGAAGTGGCATACCTCTAAATGTTTCTGGCGCAATTCTCTAAAAATCTGCATTCGAATTTAGAAATTTATTTTTTCAAAATTTTTTTATAATTTTTCCGATGTTATGATGTTGTGGAAATTCAAAAAATTAAAAACTGTCCCAAAGCTGAAGTTCTGAACTCCATAACTCAATTGATCTTAATCGGATTTTGAAGTGGCATACCTATAAATGTTTCTGGCGCAATTCTCTAAAAATCTGCATTCAAATTTAGAAATTTATTTTTTCAAAATTTTTTTATAATTTTTCTGATGTTATGATGTTGTGTAAATTCAAAAAATTAAAAACTGTCCCAAAGCTGAAGTTCTGAACTCCATAACTCAATTGATCTTAATCGGATTTTGAAGTGGCATACCTCTAAATGTCTCTGGCGCAATTCTCTAAAAATCTGCATTCAAATTTATAAATTTATTTTTTCAACATTTTTTTATAATTTTTCCGATGTTATGATGTTGTGGAAATTCAAAAAATTAAAAACTGTCCCAAAGCTGAAGTTCTGAACTCCATAACTCAATTGATCTTAATCGGATTTTGAAGTGGCATACCTCTAAATGTCTCTGGCGCAATTCTCTAAAAATCTGCATTCAAATTTATAAATTTATTTTTTCAACATTTTTTTGTAATTTTTTTGATGTGATGATGTAGTAGACATTCAAAAAATATAGAAATGTCCTAAGGCTGAAGTTCTGAACTCCATAACTCAACTTGTCTTAATCGGATTTTGAAGTGGTATACCTCTAAATGTTTCTGGCGCAATTCTCTAAAAATCTGCATTCAAATTTAAAAATTTTTTTTTTCTACATTTTTTTGTAATTTTTTTGGTGTGATGATGTAGAAATTCAAAAAAATATAGAAATGTCCTAAGGCTGAAGTTCTAAACTCCATAACTCAATTGATCTTAATCGGATTTTGAAGTGGCATACCTCTAAATTTTTCTGGCGCAATTCTCTAAAAATCTGCATTCAAATTTAGAAATTTATTTTTTCAAATTTTTTTTGTAATTTTTTTGATGTGATGATGTAGAAATTCAAAAAAATATAGAAATGTCCTAAGGCTGAAGTTCTAAACTCCATAACTCAACTGATCTTAATCGGATTTTGAAGTGGCATACCTCTAAATTTTTCTGGCGCACTTCTCTAAAAATCTGCATTCAAATTTAGAAATTTATTTTTTCAACAGTTTTTTGTAATTTTTTTGATGTGATGATGTAGAAATTCAAAAAAATATAGAAATGTCGTAAGGCTGAAGTTCTGAACTCCATAACTCAACTGATCTTAATCGGATTTTGAAGTGGCATACCTCTAAATGTTTCTGGCGCACTTCTCTAAAAATCTGCATTCAAATTTAGAAATTTATTTTTTCAAAATTTGTTTTCTAATTTTTCTGATGTTATGATGTTGTGGAAATTCAAAAAATTAAAAACTGTCCCAAAGCTGAAGTTCTGAACTCCATAACTCAATTGATCTTAATCGGATTTTGAAGTGGCATACCTCTAAATGTTTCTGGCGCAATTCTCTAAAATCTGCATTCAAATTTAGAAATTTATTTTTTCATAATTTTTTTGTAATTTTTTTGATGTGAAGATATTGTGGAAATTCAAAATATTAAAAAATGTCCCACGCAAAATGTCACGCCCTCACTTTTGAAAAATGTGATATTTTGTCACTTTTTTATGTATCTTGTAAATTTATATAGATTTGCAAAAAACTTTTTTCCACGCCCTCACTTTTAACAAATTTTTAAGTTTTTTTCGTTCCACCGATATTTCAGAAAATGATGAAATGTCTCGTTTGCACTTCCACTAGCTGAGTAACGGGTATCTGATAGTCGGGGAACTCGACTGTAGCATTCTATCTTGTTTTGGATTGACCTATTGCTTTTCAATTGACATTGTATTGTTTTGTGTAATTATATAGTAAGAACACAGTGACTGTCGGTTCATTGTTTGGATCTACTTATGGGATAAGTGAATTCCAAATAATACCTCACACCCTGTGCATTGCAATTATTGCTCATTTGAGCATATTAAATGATGATGTGCTCTAGAGAGTGCGGCGCGTGGGGCAAATCCTTTTAGTTCCCACACTCTCGCAAAGCCACGCATTATCCTTTGCCATTACTCTATTTTACGCCGTTTTCTATCTGCTGGATACTGAAGGTCTGAAGGCCTGGAGTTCCAGAGGTCTGGAGGTCAGCTTCCCCGCCTTTGATGTGTCTTTTTACTCTGTCCCCCCCTTAGGTGGGGTTTTTTTTACGGTACGGCATGGCAGCAGCTGCTGTGATCCGTGCGGGCGTGGCCCTAACCGGCTCTCAGCCCCGTTTACAGGTTTAAGCCTTTGTCCTTGCTGGCATAAAGCATGGCCCAGGTAAACGGCATAAGAATAATGACACATGCAGCTGGGCGGCGCATAAAAAAGAGCGGACTACACCCCGTGCACCCCAGCGGAAATTGCATTTTGCTTTGAGCGCGTCCAGATGCAGGAAATTACTGTCAACTGTTAACGCCCGGTGTAGGATCACGACCCCGACTTCCTTTGTCTGGCTTTAATAAATCTTCAATTTGCATGCATTTCTCTTCGTTTTTCTTTTTTCGTTTTTCGTTTTTAGTTCCCTATTTTTGCCACGCTTTGCATTCCTCGGCTGGCCATTAATCAATGCCCGGGGATCCGATGGCAGACAACATCACGTATACGCAATTTTAATTGCCACTGATATAAAAGTGTTTAGCGGTTGGGGGGCCTGCAAATTAATTAAATGTTTACCTGCTGCTCTCAGCAGAAATCAATGAAAGCGACTTCTAATTTATTGCGTACCAGAGACCAAAGACGACTCACAGGACTCTCGCATCCTGCTGACTCAGGCTGGGGAAAAGTAATTAACCGATTGGCAACTGAAACACGGCTGATAATATCCTTGGGAAATACTGCGAAAATGGCTTTAACTGCCGCCGTTTGGGAAGGCGTTGCTCCATCCATAAGTATGCCATAAATATAGTTTAAGGCAGAGCAATCAGCTGGGAAATCAATAGACCGCCAGCATCATCGATGTGGCTAATAGAGAGCACACTCCATACACGGGGGACCCATGACGTCTTTGTTAAGGGACTCTCCATTTCGTTGATTGCCCCACCGCAGGCGCAATAATATTGATCGTCTGCCAATGTTGTTCAGCTGCCCTTCAATTTATGTTCTCTCTTCCTGCAAATTCAACCGGGCTCACAGACACCAGCACACGAGCACACGGGGGTTAATGTGGCAATGCAAATCCCAAATATGGGCAAAAATGCAGTTGAAAGTGACGCCACACACTGTGTTGGCCCTGCCCGGCAAATCCGAATGCGAATGCAAATGTGGCACCAAGGCCAGCGCCGGTTAAAGCCTACACAGGATGCAAACAGAGACCGGCTGAGGGTCCGTTGCAATTGCAGTTGCCACTGATATACGGGACTTAAAGGCAGGAGCGGATTTCAGGGTCACCTCACGGCCAATCCGTGCAGTTATCAATAACTTTTGGTTGTTTTCTATCAGTTCTTATATGGGTTTTTGTTTGTATGCCACTACTAGGTTCTTATATCATTCAAATACATAATCCTTGGATCACTGGACTTATGATCAGTTCATTCTTGTACCACGAGTGTTACCCTTTTCAGCATTTTTCAGAAGGCAAGCACTTAGCTGGTTCACTAGCTAGCCTAAGCTCTGAGTATCCTTTTTGTGCCTATGCTAATCAGCTATGAGTGACAGATTTATGATCGCTCAATTTGAATTGAAACGTTGGAGTGAGATGCAGCTATTGCCTGGTGAGGAGCCTCCGCTCCTGGCCGCCTGCTGTGGCTTCAATCCATTTACAGGTGTTTGCCCAGAGTCAATGCATACGCAGCCAGCCGTAAAACATTTGTCACATTTGCA